TATGTGATACCACTTTCAGACAACTAGTCTGTGTATTTTTATGGAGAGCAATGTGCCAAGTTATTAAATTGGGAGAAGAGGATATGTAAATGTAATTTGTGGGTAGGTTTTGTTGATTATTATTTACAAATTCATGTGTATTTTGATTCTCTTTCTACTTCCCATCTCAAGGAGAATTTATAAAAGCTTTAGTTTATCCTGAAAAGGATTTTTAGAGAGAATTTGGTGAAGAAAGCTGTGGATTTAAATATTTTTCTCATTGGAGGATCATGTGACAGTTCAATTTGGATGTCTTGTCTTATTTTGCTTCTGGTCTATTTCTCAAGGATGCCCATTGCTGGGGTTTGATAGTGAGCTGAACAGAATGAGGTGGTATCTCAAATCTCTTCCTTCCTTCTCTTTAGTCTTTGCTCAGTTTCCCATGTAACCTTACTTTTTCAGTTGGTGTAACCTTACTTTTTCAGTAAGTGAGGTAGGAAGCAATACATTTCAATAAAAATACAATAAAATATGTATAGATTATTGTGTTATAAGCCTGTGTGTTTATTTAATCTATTGACTTTCATCATGGTTGTTGGGGGCATCTGGATAAACAGATCCAGATTTTATTTAGATTGGAGAATTTTAAATTCTATGCAAAAGAAAACAATGAAGTCCCCATCTTATTAGGTAAAATTTTCATGTCTGCTTTTTTTCCTGGTTGTTTTTATTTTTCCATTTAAGCCATACTGAATGTGATTGCTAGACAGAAGAGTTGTTATTAGTTAATTATATTGTGTATTATTTTCCAGCAAATCCAAATACTTGCAAAGTCATCTAATTCATACCTTACTGTGAGACACAAGTTACTGTCAGAAACAAGTCTCTGTGTGGCTGGGATTCATCTTATGCAGCAATTTTTAAATTGCTTATATGCAGCAATTTAAAAACTGGGCATCTTACTCAAACAAGCAGCTAGATTACTGAAAGTAATGGAAAAAAATGGGCATTCTGATAATGAATTTCATCCCATCTACCTTAAACAGTTATGTTTAGTTGATGAGATGAATCAACCACCTGATGTGTATATCTTTCATTTGCTACAGAGGGATCTTAGCATAAATCTCTTAGAGGAGTTTAAAGTTAGGTGAAATTGACACCTTTGAAATCAGTTATCAAAGATCTCGGTTTATTTTAGAGTTGTTGTAGAGTAGGATTTGCTATTGCTTGTGTCATCTTTTTGCAGATACTTACTTTTCCATGTCTCCCTCAAAAATGTAAATATTCATGTAATTTCTTGATAAGCTTGGTTATCCAGCTTTTAAGCCTGATAAAGGTGTTGAATAAAGTTTATTCCAAAAGGCATGTGTCTCAGTATGCAAAATCCTTTACCATTTTTAACTGTTCAGATTTCTGTTCCATAGATAAAAGGAAAAAAATATTTTCTTGAGCTGTTTGTACAGTTACAGACTTAAGGCAATTCTTGAAATATTTTACAGGAAATTGGGATATGAATTCACTGAAAAACATCTCTAGTTGGAAGGAAACTCTTCTTAGAAGAATCTGCCAGATACATGTTAGGAGTACCTTTTTAGTATATGAGTGGTTCAGGTTTTTACGTGTATGGATAACATTTGCCACAGCTTACAATTGGTCTACAGCATTTTTGTTAAAACTGACAGCTTGACAATTTGCTAGGTATTTTTGTATAAATGGTATAACATCCCGTGCAGTGATGCTTGGTTTTGATAATATAAATAACAAATCATATCAAAAGGAAATGTTGGGTTTTTTAAGTTTCAGAATGCAGCTTATACTTCCTTGTGTTGTTTTATACTTCATCTTGTTCCATGATGTGTCTGAAGGAATGACAGATATAAATTAGAACTTTAATGTGTTTTTCTGTTTTAAGCCTCTCAGCAGTTCTGTATGTGAACACTACTGGACAATGTGAACATTACTGGAACACTAACTTACAAATGAATGGTACTGTGATTTGTTCTTATAACTTACTCAAAGATGCATGTAATACTCTTGAAAATTCAGAAGTATAAAAAAGTTGAAACAGCTGTGCACATTTTGAGTTTAATTAGGTAAGTGTATTTTTATCCCAGTGTGAAAGGTGGTACTTTGTGACATTCTTTGTAACAGTAATAGAACTGAAGAAAGAATTGGCTTGGTGTACACATGAACTTTTCAAACAGAGGCAGCAAGACTTTTTAAATTGTCCTTGACACAATTTTTTTTTTAAATTAAGGCCTAGAGAGAATAGTATTTTTGCACACTGACTCCCAGCAAGTTTTTTCAGTAGTTCGACAAATACAGTATATAGAGGAGAAGGCCAAATTCAAGCAGAATTGTATCTTTATGGTACATTTTCCCAATATGCCTATACACCCTACCCTGATGAAGGGTAAAACACATTGCCAATAGATCTGTGTCATATTTAACCCCAGCCATCAAGCAAGCCCCATGCAGCCACGAGTTGGACTGGAGAGAGAATCAGGAGAGTGGAAGCTGAAAAACTCACGGGTTGAAATAAAGGCAGTTTAATAGGGAAAGCAAAAGCTGTGCATGCAAGCAAAGCAAAGCAAGGATTTCACTGCTTCCCATGGCAGGCAGGTGTTCAGCCATGCCCAGGAGAGCAGGGCCCCATCATGTGTAACAGTTACCTGGGCAGACAAATGTCATCATTCCAAATGTCCCCCATTCCTCCTTCTGTATATACAAAGAATGATGTCATATAGTCTGGAATATCCCTGTGGTTGCTTTGGGTCACCTGTTCCATTCTGTCTCTTCTCAACCTCCCATGCATTCCCAATTTCCTTTCCAGCATGGCAGTACAAAAAGCAGAAGAGGCCTTGGCTCTGTGTAAGCCCTGCTCAGCAGTAACAAACACATCTCTCTATTTACCATGACTGTGTTCAGCATGGTAAATAGAGAGATGTTCAGCCCCATACCAGCCACTGTGAAGAAAGCTAAATCTACATCAGCCCAAACCAGCACATTGTGTAACTTTTTAAGAAGTGTATAGAAGTGCTTCAGTTGGGGGTAAATGCACATCACAGCCCGTGAAACTCTGATATTTGTGATCTACTTGTAATAGATACCTAAATGTTGAGACATGGGCCTTTGGATTCTGTTAAGAGTTCTCCCAGTTTTTATAGACAATGTAACTCAATAGTACTGTACTCTGCAGTACAGTAGAGCTCTTGCTCCCAAGCCTCTTCATTTCTGAAATAAAACATTCTTTCTGGAAAATCCTAGAGATTCAAAATACATCTTTGAGCAGTAGTACCGTGTATATATGCATACACACATATGTGCGTGTACACATATATGCATATATATACTGAGACACACAAGGACATGCACATACACACGCCTACATGTAAAAATCAATGAGAATGTTCACAGTTGTAGAGACTTTAGTTTACAGAGTGTAAAACAGATTCTATCATGTTTGGTTTTGTGTTTGGCTTTTTTGGGGGGGGGTTGTGGGTTTTTTTTTCTTTGTTTGTTTTCTCTTTGTGGGCTTTTTGTTGAATTTGTTGTTCCACAATGCCAAATTAAGCGTAGATTGGATTAGCAACACTCTTCCTGGCATAGCCACATATTCAGGAAGTTGCCATATTGATGTCTCTCATGCTTTCAACCTATGATATTTTACATAATGAGAATTCTTTGTTTGTTCTACCTGCTCTTGATACTTAAGCCAATGTGTCCTAGCAAGTGGTGTCCTAGCAAGCACACAATTGCCATACCTGGGAGTTGTTGGAGGGTGTTGTTCTCTGTGTGTTCAAACATGGGAACATTTAGAAATGGATGTTCCTTGGAAGCATAATCAGGAAATATATGTGAAATATATCCTTCAGTTTTAAAGATAGTTTTACGAAGATACTTGTGTTATGAGCTGCATTGCTCTATGAAATTCAGAAAGGGCTGAGATTTAGCATTTATTTTCTCTAGCACTAGAAGTTCATATGTGTAAAAACAGTGAAAGTATAAAGTTGCCACAAAAAACCAGGTCTGTCTGCCAGAGATGTACAGTCTTGCAGAAAAGGTACAGAGTTCAAAGATGGGAGAATTTGTAGTAGTTGAATATAACATGCTAGTCTTCTGAGTATGAAAACAAGTCCTGACAATAATAGTCTTCTGTTCCTTTTGCCAGCTTTTTATCTAGGCTTTATGCCCAGAAAGAGGAACTGTTAATAGATATGCTGAAGTTTTTTATCCATTTTCTTGTATAGTTATATTTTGATTGACTTAATTTTTCCTGGTAAAGGTAAAAGAGAGTTTTAGTTCAGCATTATGAGCTAAGGGTAAAACTGAAAGCTGTGTTTCAGTGAAAGCTGATTTTATATTTCTAAAGCTGACTCCTTGGCAGTTCTTTTTGGTATCTCTCTTCCACAGGTAAAACCTCACAAACTTCTGCCAGTACGAGTTGTTTCTGAGGCTGTGATATAAACTGTGTCAATGAAATGATTCAAGGCAAAAAAATCCAATTGTGACAACCACCACCCAACCTGAACCAGCCATACTCCAGGGCAAACACAAGCATTTAGGTAAACATATAATGATGAACTAGATTAGAGAACTGAGCTGGCTTAAAAATATTTTAGGTCTTTGATGTGTAAAGCAGCTGCAGAACTACTTGTGCTGGCGCAGGAGAGCAGACCCTGGTGGAAGAGAGTGACTGGGTACAGCAGAAGCAAGGCACCATCTTGGCTTTCAGTATCTTTTCAATATACAGCTTAAACAACTTACCCCACATGAGGCTGTTGTGGTCTTCACAGTTTCATATTTGGTCTAAATTTTTGATGGGGGAAAAAAGTAGTTACAAGTGCCTTTTTGCACTTAGGAATTGGGAAGAGGACCTTGTGCTCTGAACATGCTTTTGCCTTGGGTATTTAATGATTTAGGTGTTTGGTTGGTTGGTTTTGTTTAACAATGCAATATGAGTAAACAACAATAGAATAAACCTTTAAAATGCTGTTTGATTTATATTCATATGTGGCAAGGGTGAATTAGAAGTGAGCTGGTGGCAGTTTTTCATGCATTCTGGAACAATGTCTTATTACAGTGCTAGGGACCATAAGTTATTTTCCAAATTTCGTATGTTTGGCATTGCTAAGCAATGTTGTATAAAGTTGGCACACATAAAAGCTTGAAGGTTTGTAAATTCAAAGAAATATGAATCTGTTGCTGAATGTTAACTGGATGTCCATATCTTCATTTTCAAAAATATAGAATAAGAAACCCAAGAAAGTAAATTGTGAAACTTCTTGATTATTTCAAACACAGAGGTAATGAATTGTGTTGAAAGGAAGCAGTAAGTTAGTGACTTTTCTAAATTGTTGATCAACAGCAGCGTAACTGAAATTTCCACTGGTTTATTACTGGGATCTTGTTTTTGCAAATTCTCAGTGCTTATTAACATTTGAGATTGAGACAGACTACACAAATTTACAACTATTTGCAGTGAAAAGCATCCTTCCACATCAAACCAGGTGATTTTTTGGAAGATATTAGTAAAAATATAAGGCAGGCATTATGCAGTCTGCTGTATCCTACAGTTATTAGTGGCCTGTCACTGGCTGTGAATTGGTTTTGCCTCTCTGTAGAAGAAATTATATGAATGTAGCAGAGCTTTCTGGGCAGAGGCAGGCAATGGTTGGACTAGGAAATGAAACTGTTGAGATTACACTGATGAGAGAGCAATTATGCACATGAAAGTGGCCTCTCTTAGCTGACTTCTCCCATTTTAAAATTACGTTCCCCACCTGGTGGCGCAAGGATTTTTCACAATGTATAATTGCCATCTGAAGATAGTAAATTTCTTCCCTACCCCTGTACATTTTAAAACTTGGTGGAACTGATGAATAAGTGATGAATTTTTCTCTAAGTGTCAGTAGAAGTTTAGGATGTCTGCAAAAATGTCTTTTGTGAATAAGAAATTATATGTATATTTTTTTTCCCAAAAAATATTTAACATAATTTGTATGGAGAAAAATGGTAGCAAGTTAGACAACAACATAATAAATTATTATAGACTTCCTGGGCCATACTTTTTCCATTTCAAAATAGAAAACTTTGAAGGTAAAATTTTAACTAGTGATTGAAAATCCTGTTCCTGCTTCATCACTCAAGGGATAGACAGAATATCCTCAAAAGGCTTGTGTTGAATTCTTTATGTGGGTGAGAAATGCAAATAGCTTTCAGCATTATTCGCAGGACCTCTTTATTCAAACTGTCAGTTTTGTGGCTTGTGTTTCTTCTTCCATTGGTTTTAGTGGTAATTATGAAGCTATGGAGCTATGGTAATGAATGTGTATCTGTAGCTTGCAGCAAACTATCCGGAGAAAAATTGTGACATGCAGCAACTGCTTTTCTATTTTTCATTTTGGGATTGTGCTGGTGGTGTTTGTTTTTTTTTTTTTTTTGTTTGTTTGGGTTTTTTTTTTTTTTGTTTTGTTTTTTTGGGTTTTTTTTTTTTTTTTTTTTCCTCTTCCTTATTCCTCTCTCTTTCTGTGACTCAGAGAACTGATTCTAAAGTAAATGTAGGGGTATTTTTGCAGTGGTCTCCAAATACTCACATATAATCCTGCAGTAGTTTGGCAAAATGAAGATGGGTTTGTAAAAACCTAGAAATGATGTCCAAACCAAAACATTTTCTCATTCATTGCACTGCAATTCGTGGTCTTGGATCTTTTCTGAGAAAATAGACATGAATTGAAAGAGATTCTAATTTGATATATGCAAATATCTTTTTCTTACTTGTAACAGTAAAATATGGAAATGAAAGGTTGTGTAGTCTTTACCTCTGAAGATTTTCAAGGCACTGCAGGATAAATCCCCATCTATCTGGGCCAGGGAGCAGCAGGTTTCATTTTTATAGTATTCATTTTAATTGTTGCAGTCATAGGTACGAAGATTGTGAAAATCCTTTTCTCTGCTTTGCTTTGGTGAGTCCTGCCAGTAAGTAGTAAGGCTATCCATTGCAAGTGAGCATTATTATATAGGTATTTTAACAAGGATATCGACTTACCTGAACTTAGTAGAAGCTGCAGAGACTCTTTCAGCATTTGGGACCAAAGGAAGCAAAAAAACCCCATTGATCAGAGTTTGGCAAGCTTGCCTGCTGTCTCTCCTACTGTCCTGTCTCTAACAGTGGGAAAAAATCAATATCCTTAGGTAAGGGAGAATGGGATAAGCATATTGGATTCATTGCAAATTTCCAGCTATTTTCAGCATAGATTATTTCCTGAAATAGATAGGGTTTCTAGGCATGAGTGTTTGTATAGCTAATACCTACTGCTGGAATTCTCCATCAAAGTTTAAGTAATGAACTGGAGTTATGTTAAAAGCAATAACTGTCATTGTTAAAATCCTCAGCACTGGCAGATGATTCTTTGTTTAGCCTTTCATTGTAACCACCACCTTCTCTGAGAGTCAGTCTTGAAGGATCACTGCTGTTTTCATTCATTCCTAACTGTCCAGTTGAAACCAAGTCTCATTTAAAAGTGCTCCTCCTACTGCGGGATGCCACATGCCAGTGTGTTCCTACACCTGTTGGAAGCACCAGTGAACACTGCACTAAGATAAGTCATGAGTGGCTCTTTGAAGTTCTGTGCAGCTCGGGAAATCTTCACTGGCTGTGTCCCACGTAAAGTCAGCCTGAAAGTATTAATAACATTCTTTAGAAGTTTCAAAGGCTCTAGAAAATTAATGCTGTTTTGGAAACATCATTCCCTCATCTCCTCTTTTCCTTCCTCTCCAAATTCAGGACTTCTTTTTTAATTTTGGCACTTCTGTCCACTAATAACTAATGTGGACACGAGCTAATCTAGTGAGGATAGTAATCTTTCATATAGCTGTGTGGTAGTGCAAATGTAGCAGACTCAGATACAGTCTGTTTAAATCTCTCTTAAAAGTGTTATTAAAGAAAAATAATGGTAAAATAACATCAGTAAGCAAAATTATAAATGAAAGCTTGATGGCAAAACTATCTCCAAGGCCATGTAGAGGTTATTTGGTTAAATGTGCTGATGTGTTTGATGTTTTACAAGTAGCACTGTACTGACAAGATTTGTTTATTATTGTTTCTTTTTTAAAAAATCTCCTAATTATAAATGTGGTATAGTATGGGAAACCTCTTCTGTATTTAGAATAGCTTCTTAATTTTGTAAAAAGAAGTTCAGAAGGAAAAACAACTATTTGGATTAAGCAGTGGCTCATTTTTGAAGCCATGGTCATGGATGATTCTATTATTAAGAATGAAAGCAGTGGTAGTATGTTGACCTTTCTGAGAAAAAATTATAAAATTGTCTGTTAAAGGATGCTGAGAATTTGCATGGTTATTCTGGGGATATAATTCTGTCTTTCATTTAAAAGAATTTAGTCTTGCATTTGCAATGGACATTTGTTTAGTGAAGGACTCCCTTATATTTAATATAATGATGCTGGAGTAAGCTTTTTCAGATTGAATATGTAAGTTGGAAATCAACAGTGATTTGCAAACTTAGATGAAAATTTTCTTGAGCTATTAGATGAAAAATATCTTAGATGAAAAATATCTTAGAGCTGTTATCTTGAATACGTTAGCTGTAAGAATTACATGCTGCCACTTCTTGTAGCTGTGGCTAATAGCATCAGCTCTGCTGCTTAGTGGCAGTAAGCTCAGCCCCTGGAGCAATGGAAATTAAAATCTTTATAATCTCTTAGGGGCTTCCCCTTTCTGTATTCTGTTTTGAATGCATTTTATGATGTAGGCTTCTGTTTGCTAAAAATTTAATTAGTACTGCTGTCTGATTTCAGTCAACTGAGTTATCTTCAGCTAAAAGTTAAAGGATGAGTACTGCCTTTACAAATAATAATTATAAAAAAGTCATACTAATGCCTAAATTCTCAGTGTTTGTGAGTAAGACTGGTTCCACATATCCGTTCTGGTCTTGACCAGGCAGTGACAGTTTATACACATTTGTCATCTGAGTTAGGCAAACCATATGTACTCCCACCACGCTCCTGTTGGTGGGTGGCAGTGTACAGGAACAAGAACTGGGTACTTTCTCTGCTTGGCATCCCTGCCACTGGGGATCCAAAACATGCAAATTGGCTGCAGAACTGTTTTGCTAATCAACAACTACTGTACCCCACCCACATTTCTAACTAGCAGATGGTGAGCTAAGCCTGTAGAACATGGTGATGGGTTTTACTACATCCCCAGAAAAGTAAATAAATAATATTTGAAAATCCTATTTAAAAATCTAAATTACAGAACTAATGAGCTACAAAAGCATAGCATCGTATAAGTAAGGGATTTATATTCTCTGTAAAACTTTCATGGTCACATTAAATAAACATTGCTTCAGTAATTTAAAGTACTTCTTAAGCAGGAGACAGTATTTTTTAAGGTATTGGTCATCCTAATGTTCTCAATATCTGAGGTTTCTGACTAAGACATTCGTTCTGGAAGAAAAGAAACACTATTCTGCTACAAGTCCCTTTGATTAAAAAAAAAAAAAAGAGGAATTAGATGAGCATTTAGAACAAGAAATCTTTCAGCATGAATAAACAGAACAAATGACTTCATTAACTTTCAGCTACTGTGCATTTGTGTGAAACTATGCTAAAACTATAACCCTGTCAGCACTGTATTCTTTCTATGATTTCCAAATCACAGTATGATTTTTCCAAGTCACCAGCTGGTGGGCTGCTGTTTGCTCTGGACATCAGGCAAGAATTTTGCGTGGACAAATCTTCAGGAATCAAGATGCTGTAGGCTAGGTCATGGTTGTCTTTGTTTCTCTCTCAATTGTATTCAGCTTATTCTTTCTGTGGCTGCTGCACAGCTTTCTGCATTGTTACATAAATTTGGCTTGAATAATCTCAGTTTGGTATTTTAATATAATTTAGTAATGTAAAATAATATTTTTTAACTTGATCTCTCTGTGGATGAAAATTATCCTTAGAACAAAAGACTAAAATTCAATTCAGATATTTTTTTCTAATCAGGAGCATTCTTAGAACTTGACTAAGATAGGTGCTTTGCCTTATTGAGCTCACCATCTATATGATAAGTTGCAGTATTAATATTTGCTAGTAGACACTTTTAATACACAGAAAGGAAATTTTCACAAAGACATCTAATGAACTAGTGTCACAGGCAGTGTGATCACAGAAATACTAATATGTCCTAAAACAATATTCAGTACCCACTCTGTAGTTATGTAACAGCAGCAGCGAGATTCAAAGAAAATTGCTTATTAGATTTGACCCAATAATCTGTATCTTGCTTGATAATTTTATCAGAAGAGTGTGACCCTGTCAGTCCCTCTCACTTCCCTGCACTGTGACCTCTCTTCTGACTTTCTATTTTAAAGTTCACGTAATTAATCTTATCTTTTGTCTAGGGACCTCATCCCATATATTTTTAAAAATCTGCATTTTGTATATAGCAGCAGGATATTCTCTAGCATCACTAATTGAATTTACACAGTACCTCTGAGCATTAAAATAAGACATTTTACCAAAGATATCAGTACTATAATTATGAAGAAAAAGTGGCTCCAAATTCTAATCTGAAGGGAAAAAGTAAACAAGTTGGTTTTCAAGTTGATTTTACAGATTAGAGTATTTTTCTATATCTCTGAATGAAAAAAGCCAAACACATTCTATGATATGATCTTTACTTGCTGCTAAGACTTGAACTCCAACATCAGAATACACTGACTAGTGTAAATTGTTATCATCCAGGTTCATAAAAAGCACTGAGGAAATTAAACAAAGGAAGTAAATGCTGTTTTGTACTGCATCAAAATTGAAGTTACTGCCTTCTTCCATTTTCTTTAAATGTGTCTTTACAATGTTTTTTGTATTATCATTTGGCTGCCTGCTGAGTGTGCATGTTGCATCCTCACAAGGAATGCATTACAGTTGTTTTAAGAGGATGAAAATGATACAATGAGTCAAGTTCATTTACTTACATTAATAGCAAAACTGTATCCACTATCATTCTAAATACAGGAGTTGTATCAAATCTTTCTGATATCTGGATTATGAGATGAGGTGCCATACTTATCTGTTCTCTAGTCTGTTTTACTGAAATATCATCATTGTAAACTTGTTCTAAATGCTGTAGTTCATGTCCGGTAAGTCCAAAGACAGTGTGAGTGGAAAGGACAAGTGAACAAAACGTAAACCCCCAGTGTTGTGAGAAAAAGTGCAGCAGAATTTGAAAATCTATTTACTGTACTTCCCCTTAAAGAATTTGGCTGGTAAATGACGCATATGCAACCTTTTGAATGTAATTGTGTGTGTAATTATGTTGTAGTGAGTAACTAAATATAGGGTGAGTTGGGTGTTTTTTTTGTTGTGTTTATTTTGTTGTTGTTTTTGCTTTTTAAAAGAAAATAAGCCCACTTCTAGGGGAATTAATAAAACACTTGCGGCTTGCATTGCTTTCTCCCTAGTCCTGAAGTTGTAAAGGGTGAGCTGTGTGGAGACAAGGCTGATGTCTGGGCTGCAGGATGCATCCTTGAACAGATGGCCATTCTGGGCCCACCAGTTTACAGCACCAATGTGCCCTCCTTGGCAACTGAGGTATCCACATTTTCCAGATCAACCTCCCAGTTATTTCTGCATGTGTTGTCATGATCCAAGAGAATTTATATTTAAGATTATTGATACATAAACTGCTCTCAGCTCTAATGTGTGTGGCTTGTGAACAAGCACAAGTGTTTATCATTGTATGAATTGCTATCTTACCATTCTAATTGCAAAAATTGCTTATAAATGTTCAATATTGTAGCACTTTAACCTACAGTAAGTACACTAATGTGGATACCTGACTGAAAGAGACAGTCTGCATCTAAGTTGTTCTGCAAGTTAGAGCTGGTGATGTAATGCTCATCAGGTAGTTTAAAGGGACAACACTTATCATGTTGGATGCTGAAATAAATACTGGAGTATTTTTCTTCAACAAACTGTAGATTTTTTTTTTTATTTTTCAGATAGTAGGGGCTGTGTATGAACCTGTGCCAGAAGGACTGTACTCTGAAAAAGTCTCATTTACCATTAAGAGGTAATTACTCATTTTATTTCGACATCCTGCTGTAAAGATGTTTTTGTTTTGTATGCTTCCAGCAGAGATAATGTGACAGTTTGCAGACTTAAGCAACTGCCAGTATTTGTCTCTGAATAGGAAATATCTTTGGATTTAAAGAAAAACAGAGCTATCTCCTTAGACCAATAATAACATATAAAATATCGCTGCACACATGCAACTGGAAAACTCATACCAGTATAATCAGGGCATTCATTTAGCCAGTATAGGCTTTATATTCAGTACTGAAATTTACATTTAACGGTATCAGTGCTGTACTTAATTCTCTGCACATGATTTTTTTCCCAATAAAAATCCAGAATCTGAGTAATTTTCAAATGCAGGTTGTGGTCAAGCAAATAACCCCATCAGAATATGTTATTTACAGATCACTGTATGACCATATTCATAATTTTTTCTGTTTATTTGACTGATAGAAATATGTCTTTCATTACCTTATAATTCTGTTAGCACAGCAGCAGAGGTAATGAAGCAATGGAGGAAAAGATAAGCCTGTACTTGCTACACTCACTCATCACAAATTTCTTAGCTATGTTTATATTTTCCTGGAGATAATGTAATGTGTAAGACAAAGTATAGAGTGAATTAGAGATTTAGTTAGCTCCCTTGATTTTTCCATCTTAGAAAAAAAAAAAACCTACTTAGTACAAAAATGCTTATACTTTTTCATTCAGATATTCAATTCTGTCTCTAAAAAGCACATTACAAAGAACGTTTGTGTAAGGTTATAAACTAAGGTTTTTATAGTATGTTATAAACTAAGGTTTTTACAGTATGTTTTAGTGTACAGAAAGGTTTCTGTTACTTAAAGACCTTGTGGATAAAGGACAACAATGGAGAGTACAGGAGCTAATAGAACTAACATTTAAGTTGAAGAGATTCTGAAATGAATTTTAATGAAAATATTAAAATCTTTACACAAGAATTTTTCTACGTATTTTACTAACAGTGGGAGGCATTAAGTGGTTTTTTTTTGTTATTGTTAATTTTTGGGGGGCTATTTTTTAAATAATATCTCTTACTATAGGTTAAGTCTTAAATCATTTGTTATGTTTAGGTTTTTGCTTATGCTTTGTGAGCTATTTAGAAAGAATGAAAACATTAAAGAAAAGCAGTAATAATGAGATTTTAGCTATATAGATGAGAAAACATTAACAGAAAAGATGTTATTTTCAAATGACTAAAACAGAACACATTTCAAAGATGAATGTTGGAAGTAAAAAAATAATTTCTTGATAATGATTTGAAGAAATATTGAAAGCTTCTTGTTGCAACTGTAAATTTTCATTTAGTGTTATCATTACTATTCTTTAGTATTGTTATTAAAACAGGCAATTAAAATAGTTTTATTGCTTTAAGCTACTAAAGAATGTATGGCTGTGGATTCTACTCTGGAATCATAGCCATCAAATTCCAAAGTATATGGATTCTGTTCTGGAATCATAGCCAACAAATTCCTTCAGAGTTGAACATCAACCTACTTGATGTTTAGTCATAAATATTTTTTAGTAATAAATAATTTTTCCTGTAAATAATTACAGGAATTACTATGCATGGAAATGGATGCAGGGCCTATTAAAAATCTCTTCTAGCTCCCTTTGGTCTTGGAACTTTTGCCCAGTTTCAGTGAATTAAAATAAAAAATCAAAAGGAAGCCCCAACCCCAAGTATTTTTTAAGGGTGAAAACTTGAACCTCTTTCAAAGAAATAAAAAACTTAAAATAAAAATATTTTTTAAATTATGAAAATTAGTGAAATTAATCAACACATTTAAGAAAATTTAAACAAAAATATTAAAATCAGGAAGTTCAAGCACTGTGAAGCATTTTCAAAAGTGCTACTGTGCATGTCAGTTGTATTTTACTTAGAAAGAACTGCTTTAGAAATCATAAGTCATTCTATGACATTTTCTTTGAAGAAGAGTGTTGGGTTATATGTTTGTGTTAGCAGATTAATGGTCCTATGCAAGGAAATCATAGTACATGACCAGATTCATTGGAGTTAAGAGATTTAAGACACTTTTTAGTATATGCACGACTGTCCCCAGCAGCTTTCCTGTCCTACACTGCATACACTGCAGAAAATATTTTGGGGATTTAAAAATAGACCTAATAATATATTATTACCATTACTGGGGGTACCTTTAACATAGATCTGTTAAAGTATTTTAGATTGGAAGGGACCCCTGGAAGAGTGTAGTCCATCCTGCTCAATGGAGATACAATTAGATCTGGTTGCTCACCGCTCAGGGTTTTGTCTGTGTCAGTTTTGTATTGAAGGATGGAGATTCCACAACTTCTCTGGGCTCCTCTGTAGTGTTTGTCTGCCTTTGTGATTAAAAGTAATAGTAATAATAATAATAACAAGTTTTGGATCTATCCAGACTTCCCTGTGGTTTAACTTAGGTCTCTTGCCTCTTGCTCTAACACTGTGCATCCCTGAGAAGGATCTGGCCAGGCCTTCTTCCCATTATGCAGGTTGCAATCAGATCTGAGAACAGGTGGTCCAGGTCCCTCTGACAGCTGCCCATGTATCCCTGCAATTCATTGTTCACAAACCTCTGGAAAATGCACTCTCTCCCATGATCTAGGTCATTAATAAAGACATTAAATAGTACTGACCCAATCCCCCAAGGTTGACTCCATCTCCCCCATCCCAGGAGAAGGCCCCAGGCACTCCTGAGTGTGTCTGGGAGTGCACAGCCACAGTTCCCAGCAGCCGTTCTGTTGGGTCAGTGTCAAGGATAATTGTTCCAGCTGATGCTGGAGGCTGTGCTCTGGTGTGGCAGCACCAAAGCTGCCCAGCCTCAAACTGTCCCAGGCAGCATGAGGGAGCAGTGCTGGCTGGCATTACTCCATAAATACCAGGGCAGAAATTCAGTGGTGGAAAAGAAACAAATAAATAGAGAATGTTCTTCCTGTGGCTGCTTGACTCCTGATGCAGAGGCACGTCCAGACATGGTAGAAGTCAGCTCACTGTTGACTGATGTGATGATGAAACATCTGGAATTTTTATCCACCTCTCATCTCATGCTGGGGAAGAAACTGCATTGGGAGAGGAGACAAACCCAGTGGTACTTCATGGAGGCCAATTGAAATGCAGTAACTTATCACCATCAACTTCTCATTTTATCACAAGTAAGTACATGTATTAGCTTTATTTTTTGTTATTGTTATTTGCCATATCTGAGAAAATAAGTTGCAGCAAAGCCGAAAATGAATCAAAATTAAAAGACACATCCTTCTGTATCATTTTTCCATGCAAGCTCTTTAATTTATTTTTAACAAGGTATTCATTAATTTTTTTGGATGTTCTTATGCAGGAAAAATGACAGTATCTTAAAACCCAATGTCATTCTGTGTTGGAAAATGGCATTGTTATGGAGGTTCTCACCTCCAAGTTTTGATAATATCTGATAACATTTAATTATTATGGCACATTTGTGAGTGGTTTGTGAATAAGAGAATATACGCTTGATTAGGGTGGAACAAGTTGATAATCTTGTGTATGATTCATAAACGATGACACCTAGAAAATGAAACCTACAAGAATAAAATTTTTAATTACAGATTGCAAAATACAGACTAGTGATGCTGATAAGGTATTTGTTCATGTTTTCTAACTGTCTGATACAGTTCTGTAGAAATACTTACAGTTCTTCCATTTGCTTCAGGCTGTGTTTTAAGCATCCTTCATGAAAAACATCTGTAGTTTACCTACCATATATAATCTCAGAGAATTAATTTAAAAAATACAAGAAAAATATTTTTGTGTAGCAAAATTGCTCTTTGAAAATTGTTATAATAATTCCAGTATAAAGTTATAATTTACACAGCCACTCTTGTCTGTTGAAATATTACATCTCTTAGATTCTTTTTGTCAGGGCTCAGTGGCTTGTACAAAGAACCTCTGTGTAGGAAAATGGTTTTCTAGAACACTTGGTACCAAACATTCTAGTTTTCACCTTTCAAAAATAAGTAACTTGTATCAATGGTTAATATTTTTTTCAGGAGTTTTTTGACCTATCAGTCTAAGATCATTATTTATATTACACCATTTTTTTCAAAAAAAAAGAATGCCAAAACCTGCCAGCAAACTGTAACAAACCACTGCCTTTTAAAATGTAAGAGATATTGGTTTGAAAGGAAGATACAGAGTAGGATTTGTAAGTTAAGATACTGTTAGCAACTTTTCCCATGTGTTTTTCATTTAATTTTTCTTAACCTACAGATTTGGAAGCTTGTTGTATGCCATTATCTTTTGTACCTTGATATAGTCATTCTCTTGCATAACTGTGATGAAATTTGCAAAAAAAATGTGCTATAGATGTAAAGATGCTAGATTTGGGATTTTGATGCAGTTATTGTGTCTTTGAGAAATGAATTCCCTCTCTGGATATTTGTGAGATATGGTAGAATGGATAGTTTTACATAGAAGTTAGAATACTTGTGTTTTGTATAAATACTTGGAAAATACACCTATCTACAAAACTGCCTGTGTGTTTTAGGCAATAATGGCTAGTTTTCTCAAGGAGGAAACATTGAAGTTCTAGTTCCAATTGATATTTTTTGATGCATATTAAAAGAACAAGAGATTCTGACAAAGACCCAGAACACTGAAGAAATGGAGGGGAATATGGCTTAGTAATGAGACCCAATGTTGCAAATTGTTATAAATAAGAATAAATCAGGCTAGGATCTTTCAAATTTCAGAGGCATGTTACAGGGCTTAGAAACAGAAGGAGCCATGTCGTTTCTTTCTTCCTGGTATTTAGGAAAACTTTATAAAGTTGAAGGGTTTCTAATAAAGAGAATAATTATTCCTGAAAAGTTTGCCTTTTGAAAAAAAAAAAAAGGCAATGTTCTGACTAAAAGGGCTTGGAAGAATTTCAAGCAGCTGCTCCTGAAATAAAAGCTCTGTGAGATGTAGACAGCCTAATTTATCTTAGTCAAGGCCCCAGCGAGTCCACACCCAAGTAATTTGTCATTTTTCCATGGTGTCAGAGAATTTGGTGTTTCTGCCATGTAGTTCAATGTTTTGTTGAAGCCAGCTAGCTTATATGCTTTCTCTACTGTAATGTACTTTTGGCCTCTTTTTTCATCCCAGTTTTGTTATATTGTGAATGTTTCTGAAATTAGGACTGTACTCTCTGTCCTTGTATATGGAACTGAAGAACAGAGATATTTTGGAGCCAGAATGGAATTTGTTTTATAAGTAGTTTAAAACTACAGTTTGGTAGCTGGAAAATAGGCAGTTGAAAGGCAGTTAAGTCAGTTAGTTTCCTTGTGTGGTAAGGAAAGCATAAAATCCATGCTTGAAAATAATCCCAATAAAAAGAATCGTCATCAGCTCCCTGCACAAATTCTTATATTTCCTAGTTTTCCACAGAAACTGTTTATGTTAGAGCAGAAACAGATATAGGGGTGACAGGTGTTTGATAGAGCTTGTGTGTCCAGTTCTGAAAGGTTAAGGTTGCTGACATAACACATGGTACAGAAGACCCAAACAAGTAAGAATAATGGCAATAATTCTTTCTCGTTAACATTAATAATTCATGTTGCAACTTTCATTTCAAGTTGATCAATATTATATTTTCATGCTCTGGGCAGGAAGAGGTGGAAAGGAAAAAGGTAGTTTGTGTAAGGTCACCAAACAGACCAGTAGCAAATTTGAATTTTCTGTGTTCCAAGGCAAGGATAAGTCTCAAAACAGTAGTTGATCTAACTAATGAATTGTCTTTCTAATATTTTCCTTTGAAGAGATAAGTGTATAGCCAAACAATGATTTGATTGCCTTTTGAAGTATAAAGATTTGAAAAATTGGTTTTGTCTGTTTAGAAAACAGTGAAAATAAGTAATTTTTATTACTTTGGAAACATGCATTTCATTACATGGGCATCATCCATTATTGTTTCATTTACTGTATATATCCTAACAGGTTTTCAACTTTTCTCTCATTGTCACATTTTTAAATGTAAAATATACATATACCTAAAACAATATAGAATGATGAATATTCTGTTCAGTCCTGTCTTTTGAATGTGGTAGAGGAAAGGGTAAGTTTTATAATTGGAGTCCATCAGCTAGAAACATGAACCTTTTATACCGTCTGCTACTCTGAGAATATATTAAAAATGGGCAGACATGGTAGACTACCTGGATGGTCAGAACAGCTTCCTTTTCTTGGTTTCTGTAGTTCTGATCTGTGCATAAGGCTCATATATTCTGTCACATTCTTTCTCTATGCTTTTCTGTATTCTTTGGGAATTTAGGCTTATTTTAATTTTTGTATCAATAATGTTGCTAGAATACCCATTTCATTTTAAATTCATATATGCAAATCCGTGTATTCAGAATGAGTTCCCAGTTGCTTAGAGTAATGGGGGACGATGATACTTAGATAATGGGAAAAATAGGTCCAATATATTTTTCTGAGTGTAGTCTGATCTATGGAGTGTCTCCCCATTCCATGTTAGCTGGGGCTAAGAGGGAGTCAGAATTCATTAACTGTGCTTGGTTTGAGCAGGTTCATTTAGGTTGCCCTTAGCTGAGTGCTTTGTCCTAGTGTTCAAATGCATGAGAATGCCAATTAGCAAGGCTGCTCTCTGCATTTTCCTGTTTTCACACTTGGACTGGTCTTTGCCTAACCCAGCAATCTGGTATATAGACCACAGTGAGGCATCTTTCATCTAGATAGGATTTTTAGCTGCAGGTCAGCACTGGCCCTCCCAGGCTAGGTCTGTAGGTATCAAGCTGCCATGCTACTGGACTAGGTTGGTGCTGACAGAAAACATACTCTGATTATTCTTCCTGCAGGCAGCTTGGCTACAGCCCATGCTAGGAAGTCTGACTATCTCTCCTGCAGAGGCTCCTCAACTCTTTGTTGGCTGAAAATAGTAAATGAAGCAGTGTAGCTGTTTTCAAACTATATGTAAATGACTAAATTTAAACTAAAGAACCTGACCGAACTTGAAATGGCTGATGCAGTTTCCTGACCTTTATCTCTGACATAAACCTTCATACTCCACATCTAGATGATTATGAGTTGATTGTATTTTGTATTTTTGAGGATCATAGCTATATGAAGGACCAAGAAACACAACATAATTTAACTGTTTTTTCACCCAGTCATTTTTCCCCACGTCTAAATTCAGTTCTGCTCTGCTGGCAATTGTTGTGCTAATAATCGTGTCAGTTTCTAAGCACCACCACATGCATTACAAAGTAGTACTTAATTAGCAATTCAATTTGAATTAATCAAGTTTTTTTGTTAACTCAGAAAAAGACATAAAGATTGGATTAATGTTCATTTTAATTTCCTTTGTGTTTAGAAATAGATTTTGTGCCATTCAGTGCATAAGAGAGTTCTTTCTTAAAACCGTGTGTGTGTGCAGCAGTTGTTTTGGTGTTTGTTAAAGCAATGAGTATACTTGAGTTTAAAACACTTGACAGGCAACAGGTTATTAATTTTTCAGAAATACGGTCAATATAGAAGATTAAAATATTTTTGCTAAAATTATCACTGAAACTTGTTAAATTTTTATAAAATAAAAACGTGGATGATCATGACCATGCTCTGCTGCATACATAAACCTTTGGAAATGAGCGAGGACTCAGGAATGTCATGAAGACTTCCACAAATTGTTTTCTAATTCTTCCACCTTTCACTCCATTGTAACACCATTCTGTTCTGCTAATTAAGGAGCAGGTACTAGTACTTATGCCTAAATTTTAAAAATGTTGGTGTGATTAAAAAAAAAGGAACCTTTTAAAATTGATACTATTTAACTTTGGAGAATAAAGCGACAATACAAAAACTGTTTTGAAGGTATAATTTTTTTATAATTGCTGAATGTTTAATTTGTTAGTGCGTCAAAGCTTTTTAATAGAATTGCAGAATGTAAGGGAGGAAGAGTTGTTAAAGATTATCTTGTTCACTTCCAAGCTTTAGAGCTACCTGTCACTCCTGACAGGTATTTGACCAGTCAGTCTTAAAAATGTCATGTTATAGAAACAGTTTGGAAACAGCAGAAATGCAAATACTGTCTTTACAGTCAACAGTCATATGTCTGATTAAGTATTTTTTTTTTCATATGAAGATAAAATCTGCATTTAGTCTGTTGCTTGCAGAAAATTTTGACCTTTGCTTGAAAGGGTTTAGACTTCATGTACATCTCGTTTCCAGGAGACATTAGATTGACTTATGCCTGTGCACCTGTGGGATGTATATGGCACTTGGAATTTTCAGACCCAATCTAAAGTGTCATATAAGGACTCTGATAGCACTGAGTCCAGAATATCCCCAAAAGCTGTTTGCTGTGTGCATTCAAACCTGTTACACAGTGAAATATGAACCCATATTTCTCTCTGCAGGATCCCAGATAGATGCAATAGTTTAACACTTAATTACTGAAAATTTCCTCCCCACAGTGGAAGTATGTAAAAGTTATATATGGTTTTTCTCTTATGTTGTATCCCCCCCCAGGTTTTTTTTTATTTTTTTTTTTAATTTTATTTGAGCTGAATGATAAAAAAAGTGGAGAAAGAGAAGGAAAGAAATGAGAATAATCAGAAGTCTACAGAACATGACTTAAGAAGTAAGATTGACATGATTTTAAGTGTAGTGATCAAAACTGGACCTAATTACTCCAACTGAGAATCTTCTTGGTACAAAGTAGAAAGAATACAAAATTTTCAGAATTAGTCTCTTTTTATATATCCCAGTATGATGTCTACCTTTTCAGAACAGTATGGTATTGTAGTATAATCAGTTTCTGATCCAGTGAACTCCCCATGTCTTTTAATGCAGAGCTTCTCTAGTCTGTGCAGTTGTATGGTTGTTTCTTCTTGCTCTCAGAACTTTGCATTTTCCCTACTTAAACTACATCAGTTCTTTTAGTTTGTCCAGTTTCTCAAACTTCCTTTGACACTAGCTGTCACTTTGATTGGCACAGCTCTGTGTGTGATGTATGTGCTGCAGTGTGATACACAATATGAATGGATCACAGTCCGGGTACTTCTAATAGGCACTCTGCCTATCCATTATGCAGATTGTCACTGTAATTCAGTGACAACATTCAGTGCTTTTGGAACAAGGTCAAAAAGGAGCCTGATAAATTGTGCTCACTCCCCATTTTCAGTTTAGCAAACACTCAAATCAGTTACCAGGTTGAGTACAGTTTTATGGTCAATTATTCAGCCAACTGGTCGTGATTTTGTCTAGCTCACACTTCCTAGCTTTATTCTAGGAACTTATGAAAAACATTGTCAAAAACCGTGCTAAAACCCACATATGTAACATCTACTTCTTGTTCCTAATGCACAGGAGCTATTACTATCTTACTGAAAAAGATATATTGGTTTAGCCTGGTTTTTCCCCTGTCAATTTCATGTTATATATTACTTTTTTTATTGGTAGTTTGCCAGTGGAAATAGGTTGTAGTTTGTTCTTGTTTTTGTTTTTCTTTTTTTAATAGAAATTCAATTGACTAGCATAATGCTGTAATTGTAAATGTCTCTAATAAAGAAGATTAATTAAATGCTCTTTGCAAATGCCACTAGAGAGCTCTATATTTCATGAAGACAGAAAAGTTAATTATTCTGGACAGCAGTATAACAAAACAGAGCTAAATAAAAGATCAGTATCTTTATTTTATTTCAACCTACATTTTCCTTTCTTTTCCTAATAGCTTTTAGATTCTTGTTGCAAGTCAAAAGCAGCAATTCAGGTTTCACTTTTCCAAAATCAAAGTATATCTCAATTTTAGTGTTGATGGTTACCAATGAAGAGATAGGGAAAGTATACAGGATCTGAATGAATACAGAAGTTTTCCTCATGGCTGGGACACAAATTTCCAGAGATGCTTTTGCTCAGTAATAATGGTAGATAAATGCTGGAAAAAAAATGTTTAATTGGTTCATAATTTGAACACTTTTTTGTGGGCGACTTTCTCCTTAGCTTTCCTTTTCAGCTGTGTTCTTTATACAAGAAGGCAGAATTTGTTTCAACAATTTATCTGATGAATTGGGAAACGGAGGTACTAGTTTATAAGGAAAATGTGAAAATACACTGTATCAACTGATGGAGCCTCCAGAGAAATTTGTAAAATACTGGACTCTAGAATCAAGTGTAGGTATGAGCACAGTTCAAATGAATAAGTATCAACTGAATTCCTTTTTCAATGTTTGGGATATTTTGAATATTCCAGTTTCATAGACAGATAAGCATCTGTCTTTCTCCTTATCTGAAAGAAGCCTCTCTGAGACTTCAAGGCATATGAAAGTGATTGTTTCAATGTGTTGGAGTACACTTTTCTCCATGAACTTACAAAAAAATTATGTTATTTATAACCTTGTATCCTTATGTAGGCCATTTTGGTCCCTCTGCTATAGTGAGCAAAAGTGACATTGAATTTGCCTTCCATCCTCTTCTAGCCAGGGTGCTTTTGTTCTTCTAAATCAGCCAGTGTCTTACTAAAAAGAGAAAAAGCAGTACATAATATCCCTTTTAAAAATTATTAGCTATTTTCTAGGTGGAGTAAAACATATCACAGCAAATTTATTTATTATTCTCAGATTAGTAATGAAATACTATAGTTTTCTGTGTTCAAGTGCTTTGTCAATGGGCCAGATTTTTTTTTCTGGACAGGTTATAGCTTTACAGTTTGCATAACTGCTTTAACACTTTAGGATGTGTTCCGCTGATATTTTAAGAGTTTCTCTAGTAGGTCTGTCCATTATTTTCAGGCTGAGGTCTATGGAATTCCATTCAGACATCTCAAACAGGTTTCCTTTCTTAAGGGACAGTGGGATCTGGCACCAGTTGGTATGAGATGTCTTTTTGATCTTTTTTCCCCCCCCTCAACTCCGCCTGATGTACAAGTTATTGTTAACAATGAATCTTTTGAGTATGAGGTTCAATACTGAAAATGTTGAAAGGAGATTTGAGTTTGAAATGTCCATGCAGTTTGACCCTTCTCTGTCTTTGCTTTGATTCCTTTGATATGGAGCAGGAGGACTGTTTCTCTTCAGTAACTTTGCACTGACTGTTCAGGGCACAAGAAGTGTGTTCATGTGTGCCAGGACTGGAGTGCTCTCTTAAAGTCAGCTTGAGAGTCATCGTTAGTGGTTTTCATGCTGTGCTACACTGCAGTCTATTGTGGCATCTTGGACATAACCTCAGCCCAGCCCTGAAGTATAAAATGACCTTTTTCCACCTGAATTTAAAGAGAAAACCTTAACAAGCCATCTCTTGGCTTGTTATAGGTTTGGGACTTGAACAAAGGATGGGGAGGTAGTTGAAGCAGATCATTTTGTAGACAGTGTAGTATATGTAGTATATGTAGCAATGCTCAGGGATACAGTGAAGTTTCTGAGGAGTAATTTTCTAGTGCATTCACTCCTCTGTGTCCTAATAAAGGCAAAATACTTCTTGGGAAAAACTTTGAATGACTGTTGTCCTAGATACAAGACAAATTGTCTTATGCAGATTTGGTAAGAATATAAGTTTTAGGAATGTGTTATCATCTGAAATGACTTTAATATTAAATATACTAATTTGTTTAATCTGATATAAATATATAATTCATCTCTTGTCCACCTTTATCGTGCTTTACTTTGATAGGATGGAGTAAAAAAAATATGAATTTATTTACACACAACAGAAATAACAGAAATAATATGTGAAGATTTGGAACAATAGGAGATCATAAAAAGTCTTCCTTCAAAATATGTTGCATTAAAATAGAAGCAGTAGCAGGGACTGGGGATTTCTATTCATTACAGAAAACTGATAAACATCGACAACCGCAGGGGCAGAATTTTATATGCATCAAATAGCAAACAAGATGCAGCACTTAAATGTTACAAGCAAATAATTTGTATTCAGTGTTTTGGTTTTCTTAGATCTGCTTTGATAATGCTAGCAGCGTTTGGTCATTTCAACCTTTATGTCTCTCTAGCATCACATCTGTATTGCTTTGGCGCAGCCTAGCTTTAGGTAGCGGCGGGGGTCACAAAGATGGATCCTGTGGGAAGCTGCTGGAAGCTTCCACCATGTTTAGCAGAGCAAATCCTGATGGCTGTGAAGATGGACATGATGCTGGCCCAAGCTGGGCCAGTGAGAGAGGCTGGTAACTTCTCTGTGATGACATATTTAAAAAGAAAATCAAAATAAAGTTACAGGTTTTGTTTCTAGTCAGAGAAGAGGAGGAGGTGAGAACATGCGAGGGAAACAACATGGGGACACCCAGGTCAGTGGAGAAGGAGGGGAGGGGAGGAGGTGCTCCAGGTGCCAGAGCCAAAATTCCTCTGCAGGCCCTGGTGATGACCATGGTGAAGCAGCTGTGCCTCTGCAGCCCATGGGGATCCACAGGGGATGCAGAGATCCACCCACAGCCCGTGGAGGAGTGGGTGGATGCCTGGAGGAGGCTGTGATCCAGTGGAAGACCTGATGGAGAGAGAGGGCCCTGGCTTCCAGGCTGGAGCAGCCTGTCCTTGGAGAACTGCACCCCATGAAGAGAGACCCATGCTGCAGCAGTTTTGGGAGGACTGTGTGCCCATGGGAAGGACTCATGTTTGCAGCAGGTGCAGAAGGCTGCTGCTCATGAGAGTGGCCCCACGATGGAGAAGTTCATGGAGAACTGTCTCCCATGGGAGGGACCCCATGACCTCACAGGGGAAGGACTCCTCTCACAGAGCAGCAGAAGAAAATCCCAGTGATGAAATGACCAAAACCCTCATGCCTTGTCTCCTTGCACTGTTAGTGGGAAGGAGGGAGAGGCTGGGGAGGGAATTGTGTTTTAAGGACTTATTTTACCTCTCATTATCCTCCTCTGATCCTGTTAGTAATAAACTTCATTTTGCTACGGAAGTTGCGCCTGATTTGCCCTTGAAATATTTCTCCCGGTCCTTATCTCACTCATGGAGCCTTTGCTAACTTTTCTTTGCTAACTTTTCTTAGTTTTCATTTGTATGTGCAGGTATTTTCTCTGAATGACAATGAGATAGACATAGTGGACAATTCAAGCAGCTCCAGTTCAAGTAATTTGGAAGAGTCTGCTGTTGGTAAGATTCTTCAAGAATGAAATGTACAAAACTTTCTAACGGTGAAGCAGTTGTTTAGTCCAATATATGAGGCTATTTCATGATTTGTCACAAATTCACAATCTGCTGTTACCTAAGTGAAGAAAATCACTGTGCCTCTGTGACAGCCATGTCCAGTTTCATACATTTGGTACCACCAGGACTTTGTGTAGCTTGTCCCCATATTTTGCAGTAGCAACTATGAAAATTGGAATATTACTGAGCTTCTTGAGTAGGAAGATGGTTTTCAATTTAAACATAAGATGACTAATATTGATACGAAACAGATGGAAGAGTGTGAAGAAGAAAGTTGAAAGAGGCAAGCTTTAGCTGTCTGGAAGAATTGACTGAATGGAACTGAAGGAATGTGCAGATTTAATTAGGACAGAATTATGTGGCAAAACACAGCATTAATTCTGCTTATAGTTATTTATGGTAATCAAATTGGAAAACACCAGCTGTGTTGTGTGCAGTAACAGTTTTTTGGGATTATATTTCCGATTTGAAAATTAAAAAAAAATCAACTCAAAAAACAGTAGCACTAACCACTATGAGTTTACTTGCTAGATTGTGAGCTACCATGACCTACCCATTTTATACTAGAGAAAAAAGAGATGGGTGTTAGAGTTAAGCAAAATTTAAGGTTTCCATTAATAAAATATGGGGATGATTTAGAAGTACTTTTAAAAGGTAAAGGGAATGTAGTTGTCTGAAGATTAGAAAATATTATTGCTGCAAATGTCCCAGGCTCCAAAAAACCTAGAATAACATTATTTGTTTGTAATCCTATTTGGTAGCTAGGTTTTATTTCATATTTTGGTCCAGATACTGAAGAGCTCGGATGAGCTCTTATTACAGAAGCCATTAGTGCAGGGCAAATAATGATGTGGTAATTCTATTTAAAATCCATTAAAATGATTTGCTAATTGTAACTGGATAGCCTGCCATTCTGAAGGCTGGAGGACCTGTGGCTAGCCAGCCCTGAGATTATTGTCAAAATTTTCTGTAAAAATAATAATTTTAGAAAGCACTTTTTTGTGGCCCCATTCTTGTGCTAAGAGAGTAACAGGAGAAGATTGCAGGATACAGGGAAGCCTTGAATAACTGTGGGAAGGGGCTGCATAAAATGAAGCCCTTGAGAAAAAGCAGCTTCCAGGGACAAAGTTGTATGCTATGTTCACACTGAAGAATTACACATTGTGTATCTCACAGGAATGCAATTCTTTGTGGGCTAGTTCAGCATTGTGCACAGAAATTTGAAGCGTTTCTGTAGTTTGTAACTCACCACACCCAAAGCATTAGTGGTAATGATTTCCTTGTAGATAATTTTTCTTTGTTAAGATTTTGACTTTAACAAAATATCAGCTTTTCCTAATATTTGAATGTTCCGTGCCATATTGCCATGGTTTTATTTAAATATTTTAAATGGAAAGATTCCCTCAGTTCTTATCAGTCCCAGGAGCTTTAATCAGCATTTCTAGAAGTCATCCATTTTTCTCCTGGCAGAGAGTCTAATTATTATATAGATACTTCAGGATTGCTTTTTCAGGAAAATAACTGCAGTATTACATTCTTAGATCAGCTGTAGTTTCTACTTCATGTTGAAGTCAGTGTTATAGATCAGTTGTAATTAATGCTGGAAAATGTTTCTACTTTTCAGGGGTAAAGAAAAGATAACTTAAAAAAATATAAATTCAGGATAATTGGGTATTGCTTGAGAAATGTTCCATTCATTAATAATAAGAGGGTAACAGAGTTTGAATTATCGGCCATGGTTTTGTCAAGCATGTCAGCATTACAGGTGAAAATGTGGCCAACTTTGATCTAGCTAAATTGGAAATTTCTAAAATGAGAGTTTTAGTTTCAGGTATATTGATGAGGATTGTAAAAGGTTTTGTCTAATCGTGCTGTCATCACATCACTCTCAGAGAAAACGTGATCATTCTAATTTGAAACTAGGGTGGTATTTTGCAAAAAGGTGTGATATGCTGAGCTGTTCAGTAGCACAGACACTGATATGGATTTGTCAGTAATAGGGGGAAGCTTTTTTATAGTCCCATATTGTCATAATATTTTTAATGACTTTGCATACTCAGTGTTTTTCAATTATGCTTTAAAAAAAGAATTATTCTTCTTAGTACAGAACGTATGGACAATGTATTTCTACATGACCAACTCCTTTAACAAGATTGCCAAGTTCAGGATGTGTAGATTCTGGAACAGTTGCTCCTGGTACTTGAAATGATTAATCCTACAGGAACAAAATTCTGCACATTTCAGAAGCATAGAGGCAGCAGTGACAGATGCATTTTTCTTTTCCTGAAGTAATTATAATTTCAAATTATGAAGATTGACAGAGGATAGGGACATACTGAGTCAAAAAACTGTGAAGAATGATGGGATGGTAACAGTTTATTAGTTGAACTTTTTTTCTTGGTTTAAAATTACAAGGTTCCCAACTTTACCTTAACTTAGTCATATTAAAGGATTTTTTCTTTTATTTGGTTTACAGCGTAACCATATCTTCACTTCTGTTGGTAAAACCAAATAGCAGGAAAATATGTTATATGTATTAATGCATAGTAGTCCAGTAGAGCCAGTGTGTCAGCTGGGTGAAAGTTGAAAAATTTACTTTTTGTCTGGGAATGCTCTTTTGGACAATATTTTTTGTTTCCCTTAATTGTGTTCATTTTCATCAACCAGGACAGTGAAGGACATTGAAGGACAATTCTCTGTAAAACCTGCTATTAGAAAACCCTGGTCTAAGGCTTTATTACTCCTAACCTTCCTCGCAATATAGAGGTAGCATGCAATAGATTCTTTTCCGAATTGCTCAGCCTTTTCAAGAGAATAGTAAGTCTCAAAACACAGTCCTGCTGTGCAACTGGATCTTGTTTAAAAGTTTTTCTCTTACCTCATAATTTCATTTATGCTTCCACTATTTGGAGGAATCTCTGCACTTTTATATCTTGTGACCAATAAGCAAAGACACTGATATTCAGGATTCCTTTCCTGTAAGAGTATTCAAAGTTACCATGTAATGAAGACACCACAGATATGCCTGAACCATATTCTAGTGATGTAACTCTTAAAGGGTCTCCTATATCCTTCTTTGAGAAATGCAACTGGTTTACACAGTGCCAGGACTTGAGTATTGTACAGGTAGTGCTCGTATCCAGTTGAATAATTGAGGATTTCTTGAACTAGGATACTTTCAAAATAGGAACTCAGTGTGTTTTATGTAGCAAGTGGTTTGGCTCATCACTTAGGTCATGAATTTAGGTCATCACTTCACTCTAAATTTAACTATTTACTTTCGAGGATAACAACAACACATTATGAAATAAACCCCCATTCACTAATGTAATTTGTTTTCTGGAGCCTGTGATTTGGGCTACATTGCAGACAGCAACCTTATATCTTGAAAGTTCTGTAGTCACAGAGATGAGCCTTTTTTTAAAATTTAGACCAGTTGTATTTGATAGATTTGGCGACTTGAGAAGACATGTCTTCTTTATTAAAATGACTAGATAGTTTGGTATGTTTTTGGAATAAGATTGTCTGACATCTGCTATATATGGTTTTCTGGTTTGTGAGGAGAAAGCTTAGGGAATTTCTTGAAAATTATTATTGCACCAAGAAATCTATCATTTGAGCAATGGACTGTCTGTGAAGAACTTGGGAGACCTTAGTGTTCTGTAGGCTTGCTTTTCATTATTTGTCTAAGATTCAGACTTCTCTTGAGACCTCAGGCTAATGGGATTTTGTTGAAGTCATCAGCCAAGACCTGGTTTTCCTATATAATGCCTGAGTTAAATTTGAAGTATGTTTATGTCAACTTCTGTTGCTGCTCATGGAATCACTGCGAGCAAGAAAAAAAGTAGTTGTTTGCTCTGCAAAACAGCTTAATTAACCCGATTGGGATTGTCCATTCCTGTGTAGTGATTTGAAGGGCAGCTTACTAAGTTACTATTTTTGAATAAATAAAGGTAATTTCACCTTACTCCTGAAAAGATCATTGAGCTGTCATTCAAAAAACCACTCTGCTTCCATTTCATTCAAGGAGATGTACTGAAGTTCTCTGCTAATGCAAAATTTTACTTCTATTTTCCTGCCAGTCTGATCAAACTTGGAGAGGTTTTCAGAGGCTTTGGTTTTTAGATACCATTGAAATGAAAGTTAAATCCAAAGCAAAACTTACTCTCTTCTCAGGTTTTTCTGATCTCATATCATGTAACCAGCTCTTCCCTTGCAATTGCCTGTTTAGGTGCCTGCAAAAGCAGAACACTAAACTTCATATTAAAATGTATTTGTATGATTTTTACTGATGTTGATGCATGTTAAGAAGTTAGAGTCTTAGAAGTTGCTCTAATTACATCAGCTGCTAAAGACCAAAGTAGCAGTCAGAGAAATTATTTATGCCTCATTTAATACTTTTTAAAATGTTCTCAAGGCATCTGCATAGAGCTATTCAGAACAGGGAGGCTGATGAGAATTAAAAGCTTTGGCTTTTTTGTGTCTTTCACATTCTAACAAAAGTGGGCACACAACAGGAAAGAGATGGAAGCTTTGTATTTCATTTTCCTTGAGATTGACTTGAACTGAAAAATACCTTCTTGCAAGCATTTGAACAGAACATATTGCCTTGCTCTTTCTATCCATGTCAAAGGAGTAGCCATGGTAAAAGGAAATATAGCCCAGGAAACCCTGAGCTGAACACCAGGATACACTATGTGCTCCATGACTTACATGAGTCACCTTGCTGCACATCTGTGCTGTTTCTTACTCCCTGACTGGCTCTGTATGATTAGCATAACTCATACACAGAAGACCAGGGATTATGAATAAAGTCATTAGTGTTCCTTGAATACACGTGTACCTTGGGTACACATGTGAGTGTGTTTGTCACAATGATTTTTACATGTTTGAGTCTCCTTGTGTTTAGTCATTAAGTAAATTATTTTCCTGTTTTCATAGTGAGTAACATAATGAGATTCCTCTCTCAGGTCTAGCTGCTCAGTGGGTCTCTAGCATAATAAAAAGCAATAAATATAGGCCTGAAGGGTGTTTGCTATTGTTTAGTGATGTTCACCATCTTTGGCATTTTGTTTTTTAGCATTAATAAGTATTTTCCTAACTTTAGCTTATGAATCAGAAAATATTGCACCTCTGCTGTGTACAGTCAGTGGTGATACAGACTCTTTGGTGTGAAATATCATGCACTTGTAAATACACTCATACGATGGCAGATTAGCAAGTCAAATGTGGTGAGTCATCAAACTGATCAAACAAATTTGGATATGAACCCTTCACTGATAAGAGACCATTTATTTGAAACAGCCAAAGGGTGAAATATTTCAAACCCAATTTTGTAGATGGATACGTGAAAAGGGGGTTGTTTTTTATAAAATTCTAGCAAACATCTGTGTTCACTCTTAGCTTTCTAGCCAAGTGGTTTTAGTTACAGATTTTCTTGCATGCATTCACATAATATATTATGGTATTTGTTATGACAGAGAGTCTGAGGTTGCAACTCAAAATCCTTACCCCAAGCAACATGACTCACATTCACTCAGAGTTTCTACTTTTGTATTTATGTTATTTTGTCTGTGTCCTAAGCAGGTAAAATATCTGTTCCTTGAATAGGCACAATAACATTTTTCTTTTCCTTCACTTTCTAGGCTGTGGGCACTCTCTTTTTCTATTTTTCTGTCTCATTAACAAAGTTAATTGAAGAACTTTTGCTTCTATGAGGGCCTAGTTTATTTGCTGTTATGTAATTTAGGTGCTCTTATCAAATAGTCTTTTGTGCTAGCTAACACAGAATTTTGGTGTCTGTTTTGCTAAGCAAAGTATCAGCAAAGATTAAAATGTTGTTTCTTTCTTGTTTCTTTCTCTTTCATTCTCTCTCTGTTTCCGTGTCTCCTTTTCAGGGAGACAGATTTGGCCTAAAGATGTATAATTTCTTTTGGTTTTAAAGTGAATTCAGTTTGACAGATGAAAGCCTCCTTCAGATTTTTTTTAAAATTTAGAGGATTTCAGAAAAGTAGTAAAAATATTTCAGAGTACAACACAAAAGTATGTTTGAACATGAAAAGATCTAAGACTCAAAAATATGTTTGCTCTGCAGTTGCTCAAGAACTAATATAACTGCTGTAACAAGACCAACAATGGGAAAACAAGTTTGTTTGACATAAAATCTTTTTTTTTTCTTATCTGCTGTTTGAGTGATTAGATGCCTCTGTTCTTGTTTAGAGATAATGTTTATGATGTTACTAGTGTGGGAGAAAAATCTCATGTAGGCAAAGATGCAGGCCTTGTATTAAAATACAATAATTGTATGTGAAAATTGTAAGAGTATTCTAATCTTGCTATTCAGATTTTCAGTTAGCAGAATTATCTTTTCATTAAACATACACTCTACCAAAATGAGATACCAGGGTGGTCTCAAATTACCATCCAAATTACCATCAAAAGAGTGGTTTTACAGGAATGATTTAAGACAAATGCTTAAGACTAATATTTGCTTTAAGGCAATGCTTTCCAAGTGCATGAATAATAGATGTCATCAAACATTAGCTTTCCTTCTACACATTTTTTGGCAGTATGCAATAAATGATTTCAATGTTTACATTCAGTTTTATTGCTGATTAGATGTTGGCCCAATAACTGGTCATACTGCTGTCTTCAAGGCCTTGACTTCAGTAGGATTATTTTAACAGGAAGGTATTGCATGTGTTATTGCATATAGATAGACACCAAATGGAATGGTGGCAGTAAATATCTGGTCAACCTCTAAGAACATGGGCAAATATTCTATCTCCATGTCCAGACTAGAGACAATGTTGTGGCTATAGTGGTAGCAGTACCTGTAACAATTTAATGCAAATCCGGATGCATATTCTGTGAACATCTAGTCAGCCTGTGTTGTTACTTTCTGTAACAATTTTCTGATATAATTTATTAAAATACTTGTCAGGCTGAGATTTTTGTTATGATGCAAGCAATTTTTTGATACATCAAACAGCAACTTGATAGGTGGAGGTTTGGAGCTTGTTTAATGCTGTTTTTTAAAAGTTGTTTTGACAACATGTCTGGGAATAGAAGATATTAACATACATGTTGTACATTTCTTTTAAACAGAAAATAATATTTATGTGTTTGTTTCAAGTATAATTAAACAAAGTTTCAGTGTTTCTGAAAGACAGCCTCAGATAAGGTAGGTGTAATTTATGATTTAAATATAATTGATCATTGTTGCTATCAGTTCCAGCTGGTTGTTTCACAGTGGAACAGTTCCTCAAGTTCCTTGAAACCAAGAAACATGTCCTTGGTTACCTTTGACTTTATTTTACCTCAGCCTAGGACCCCAGTTCTGCTTGAGGATATGTTAGAGGGTGTATGCGCACAAAAGCTTTACATGATAAATAGTTTTAACAATGGACCATGCTACTGAAACTTAAACTGACATCAGTTTATTAGCCAAATTCTGGTTTTATATTTTTAAGCAGATGATTTTCCATAGAAAATGGTGCTTGTGTATTTGATAGTTTAGAGTATGCTGTAGTAGTCTAGAGTAGTACCTTGTCTCTTTGAAATCCTCTGGACTTTCTGTATAAGCATAAACACCCATTTATTGCATTTTGGAGGCCTCATTTCTTCAAAAAGGAAACAAACAGAAGCAGAATAAGTCATGTCATCCTTCTTCTAAAGATCTTCCTTTTTCTTCTGTGTCATCAGTAATATATCAAACACATTCCCGACCATTATTTTTCTGATCACTTTGGCACCACCCTTATGCAGAAATGCTGTCAATTGTTTCTTCATTTCTGCTTTTCTTCCATATCTGGGAAAAAACTCTCAAAATCACTCCTGGCAGCATCTGTTTCCCAAACATTTTTTTCATTTTATCTTTGACTTAGCTAGGTAAGTATTTGTAATGATTGCATTGATTCTTTTGCTGTGTTTCTCCACAGACCCTGTTTGAGTCAAGTGCAATATTTTATTTTTGCCTTCAGAATGCTGCTTAGCATAACACCCATCCAGTCTGTTATTTATCCCTTCCTAACCTTACATGTTCTTCAGTCCTGTTGCAGCCTCCCCATGCTTAAGCGTTGAAGAAAGCATTTTCTTTCTCATTGTAGAAACTCATTACTATACAAATCTCTGCCCCTCACATTATCATCTGCAAAACTATTTCCTTGTCTTGATTTGTAACTACTCCTTGAAACAGTGGTTTTCCCTACTGCTACAAAAATAGATAAAAATTTGGGCTATTGCGGCTGCCATCCATCAGGACATCATGTTTGTTCTTTCAGTTCCCTGATATCTGTGCCCATTTGTTATTGCTTATCTCAGATAGTGAGATCTGCAGGCTGGGAAAGTATTTGTCTAGAGTTTAGAGAAGGATATAGCATTGATACATGTAGACCTGTATTTCTGACATTGAAATATTGCCTTCCTAGTGATGGAATACCAATTTTTTCCCCATTTTACTAGTACTGACCAAGGAAAGAAATTTTTATTTAGTAGAAGTCATTCTATTTTGGGCATGCAGAGTAAACCAGTTTTTAGAAATGGACAGTTGTAAACTAGTGAATTTGGACAGATTTCCTTTAGGTGAAACATGAGAAGGAGTCAAGGAATACTGCTATTTTCTGTACAATCATTGATGCCAAACACAATTAAAACTTGTTTCTTTTTTTAAAAAATGATAGATTATGTTGACAGTTCTGGATAAAGACTGCGATCAGGTAATCTTGTGCTCACAAAAAATTCAAACTTTAACTTACATTAAATCTAATGATTTTCAAGTTTTTGAACATTATTACATTATTCTCCCATTGCATATTGAATGTTTCCTCTTTTATTTCTTCCTCTTTATTGCCTATTGATTTGCTTTTAAGAGTACCTTCACTCACCCAAAGGCCCCACACTAAGAAAATCAAGTGTTTCTTCGTGATGAGATGGCAGTTTCATAGTCTACCAGTTGTAGCTCTTTACAATGTGAATCATCATGGTTTTATTTATAATTGTATTTTTAAATGTTAGAAAAAGAGATAATTACATTTTACATACAAATATCTTATCTGAAGTATCATTAAAGTACTTCTTAAGAGTATGAATTCCAACAGTGAATCAGTAAGATCTCATATTATTTGTCATTATCCCAGCTAAACTTCTGCAGAATGAAATGGGAAATTCTCCTGTAAAATGAATATTTCATACAGCTCTTGCAAATTATCATGTATTTATGCATCATGATTGATGAAACAAATTTTCCATTTGAAGTACTTTTACCGAGAAGCTTCACACCCTGTAAGTTGCTAAGATGTGATTTCAGAATGCATATTGTCTGAGTTAAATAATATTTGAAATAAAATTATTTTGATCAGTTAGGATATTGATCTTCACAAAAAAGTGCTTGTTGTCTGTACTAAGTTCTATTTTACAGCTTTTAATGTAAAAACTGTATTAAGAATTTTAATTATGCAGTACTAATCCAAATTTGATGTCAACCTTCTGTAGTTTCAGTGCTGTTTTCTAAAGGGTGCTCTGTAATAACAATTCAGTTTAAACATAATGTCTGTGTGCTATAATGATCTACAGAAAAATACTTTAGCCTTTGTTGATATTTTCAGTTCTGTGAGTAAATTGAGTGAATCCATTATCTTTTGTCAGTGATGTTTTCCTTTTGGATAAAAGTCTTAAAAGCTTTCGTCAAGTCTTCAGCAGCCTATTCACACATGTACCCTCATCTTCCAAATAATGCTTCTGTATTAAAAAAAACCCCAAAAAACAAAACAAACAAACAAGGAACTTGGAGTGGTTCAGTGTGTGGACTTCATGGGAACTCCTAAAGTCTTTGAAGCACCTAGATACTACAAATAAACATTAAATCTGGTACTCATAGATTTTTAAGTCAAATTGTTGCTGTCATCCTAGAAAAGAGAAAGAGCTACTTCAGCTGAATAACAGAGAAACCTAAATGATATCCTTCTTGGTCTTTGCTGTTTGCTGTTATCATTCTAAACATATTTCTATTCAGAAAAAAATAATTTAATACCTACAAAAGAAAAGGCCCTGACTTATTTACTTTTGGTTTATAATACAAGCCATTGACAGGAAAAGAGGAGACAAATACCACAGAAGAGGGAGCAGTGAAAAAGGGAACATGTCAAAGAAGTGAAGGTTTTATGAGTGTCCTTAACATAACTGAAGATTTTAAGGCAATAATGGCAAGACCACACTGGATTCTTTTGGGCCTTGATCATAACAGTATTGAAACAGTTGGTAGAGAGGTGAAAATTAGGCAAAAAAAACTAAATCAGAATTGTTCTTTGGGTGGCATATATTTTTAGATTATTATAGTATGGCTTCCACTGTCACCTTGAGCAGAACACACTTACATTCTTCTTTAAATGACTCAGAGGAAACGCAAAGCTTTTTATTGTCTTACTGATTATTAAGAGAAGACCTAGGGAAAATATGTCAAACTGAACTTCACTTGGCTTTCTCAAGACATTTGCCAAAATTCAGTGCAACAAAAAACCCCATAAATATCAATGATGTTGTCTTCCTGAGGCTACTAGAAATGTGTCTCCCTGTGGTAGAGAAGGATGTTTATCTGTATTGCTTTATTTCTGTGAGAGCATAGTTCAGATCTGGATGGTCTTTAGACATTAATATTTGTGAATATCTTTCTTCTTATTGAAGTAGCCAGCACAGAAATTCATCAGTAAAAAAGTAGTAGTAGTTCTTTTGTGGACTAGTTAATGTTGGCATTTGGATTTCATCACCCTCTCAGTAGAATTTTAATCTTGACATAAGATCACATTGGGAAAAAAAAAAAGAACATTTTCTGTGGTTGTAAATTTATACATCAGACTTGATGATCCTCAGGGTGTTTCTGTGAGAGTAAATGTTAGAATATCTAAATTAGTCTCTGAAGTGTAGTTTAGAGAAAATTGTATTTAGGAGAGGTACAGGGCTGCTGGCTGAAGTTCAATACTTTGGCCAAAGCTCTTTGCTTAGCTCCCAGGTCTAATGGTCAACGTGGAAAGATTATTTTGTGAACTAATGTTCTTCTGTGATCCACTAAGTGTTTTATAGTGGAAGCCTGCTGATAAACTTTTATTTAATCTCCGAGCCTGACAATGTGTATGACTTCAATATACAAGATTAAAAATCCTAAACAATAGATTTACCTCATTGAAATATTCCACATCAGACATATTATTATAATGCTTAGGGTAGAATGAAAATAAATTCAATAACATCAAAATATATGAAAAAATATGTTTTGTTAGTCTATGTAAAAAAAATCAGTTAAGAAAATTATGTTTCTCATATATTTATCCTTTTGAATAAGTATGACAAAATTTTAACAATTGTTGAGGTACATTAATACTGCTTCTGTCATGGAGTAATTTAGTGATTCAGAGAAAGGGATTTTCTTTTGAAACACATTGTCACTTATATTGTCTAAATTTTTAACATTTTAGATTATCCTTTTTTTGTTCCCAGAATTATTGGAAAAACAAGTCAAACATTTCAACTTGGTATTTACAGCTGCGAGTTTTAAACATTCTATGCTATTAATGTGCTAAGGCAACAAAATGAGCTTCCCTCCTGATTTTTCTCTTGCCATCTACAGCATTGGCAAGAATTGCTGTATCACAAGGAAAGGTGCATCGGATCAGTGACCCTGTTCAGCAGATTCTTGTTCAGCTGCACAAAATTATCTTCAGCACTAAAGTATGCATTACTGTTGCTTTTGACATTCTGTACTTTTTAGTCATTTGCTGTTGTCAAAATGATGTTACTGCAAAGTGCTGCTAATTTAGTTACTGTTCTTTAAAAACAACAGAACTTGACATTTTTGCAGATGGCAGGATGCTTTAAAAATATATCATTAAAATAAAGACTAACTTTGAATATTAGTATGTGGAGGATGGCAATAATTGAGTCATATAAAAAAAAAGCTGTAGCTCACCTCAGAAAAATGGATTGTACAGTAAAGTATTTTTACAACATTCTGTCATACCAGCAATATGACTACTTAAGGTGACAATATCATATACTGACATGGAGAGTTAATGAAATGCTTTCTTCTGTGGTAATAGTTTTGATAATTTTAAGTTGTATTTTAATTATCAGTACATAGCAATGCTCTCTTGGGAGTTTTAGTGCAATAGATGAAATCCTGAACATGTTAACTTTTTGAAATGTCGGATATTTTTCAAATTTAAGACTTATTTTAAAATTAAGTCCAACTTCATACTGAGAGTTGAAGTTATTTCATTTTGATTCCAAAACAAAAATGGAGCAGAGCTGATACAAAATCTGCCTTGAATTCTCACATAAAAATGTGATTGGAACCTTTTTATTCTGCGGAAGGATGGCTACCATGCAGCTATTTGAAACATTTGCTATTATTAGAGAAACAGATTTTTATTTTTCAAAATGAAGTTTACATTTGGGACATGATGTTTATCACCTCAGGGCTTTTGAGATTTATCAACCAAATTTGTTTGGTTTTGTTTAGAACAGAATAATTTAACTGAACTTGGGTGTGCTTTACATGTCTCCCTTTTGTTTTCTTTTTTCTTTCCTTTTAATTGTCAAGCTTATCAAAACAGGTAATACAAGAACTAAATTATCAGAGACAAAAGAAACAAACATTATTTAAGACAATTGGAAATTATATCCTTCTCCTATCAGGAGAAATGAGGCAGTTCAGTTTTTACATGGTATTTTAGGAGCATGTCCAAGGTGCTCATTAGTTCTATCCTATCCTTTCTGTTGAAGGAGGTTTTCTCAAGTGGCTTACTAATTAGTATGAGTTATTGTAATGTGGATACTCAAGAACTGAGAACTAACAGCAGCTCAAAAACTGGCTCAGAATTGACCACTGAAGCAGTAGCACCAGCTTTTCTCTGATTTCAGAGAAACCAAAATCCATACCTGTACTTGTTTACTATGTTCCACATGCCTCCCTTGCACTTGTTTATGTTTTTACAAATCTGAGGTCGAGTATTTTTTATAATACACAGCTGTTTTCTCAAACTGTTACATATTCCAGTTGACAGTTCTAAACTGAAGTTTGCAAGGAGGAGTTCTTGCCTGTTAGTTCTTGGCTGCCAGCAGCCTTCCCTGTTTCCATGGGAACAAGAATCAGAGTGATCTCTGGAAAACAATGTAAGAGAAAGCTTTTTAAAAAGCATTATGTAAATCCTTGGCTCTATTTTTTTTTTTTTTTTTTTTTTTTACTGATCTGACAACTGATTTGATTAAAACAAAAGCTAAAATTGAACACTAGTGCCTGAGGCAACTCCAAGTTTCTCAAGCACTGGACTTATTCTGAAGCAGAAATGGTAAAGAAAATCCCAGTATCCCCATGGTACATTAACTACACACTGCAGTGGTATGTAATCCATAGAATATGTTGTCAGCCTTTCCTAGGGCATCATTTTTTTACTCTCTCATAGGCTAAGGAACATTCAACTTCTGACTTAAAGCAAATGTATAAGGCCTTATCTCTATGAGAAAAGAGTAGTATCTGTCTGTGAGAAAAAAAAAAATCTCTGCATGCCAACAGCTGTCTGGAGAAGTCTTTTGTGCTTAGCATGTGACATTGATCCCTGGTTTGTTAGAGCAAATCAGGACTCCTGTGAGGCCAATAAAACCATTCTGGATTTATTGCTGTCTAAGAGCAGTAATTTGTTCCAGTGGGATAAATGTCTCTATGATGTCTCCTATGGCAGGGTTTGAATGTGAATCATTAGGGGTCAACCCCTCCCTAAGTAGTCAAAAAGCTTCCTGAATTCAGTTGAGTGGTACTTCATGAATTCACATCAATGAAATTATTATAAAGTGTGTACGAAATGGGAGAAAATCATAGTTTTTCAACTATGCAGAAGCAACAGAGAAGATAAATTCAAAAGGGTAGTAACATACCATAGAATTGTTGTCAGACTGGGTTGATGTCATTGCAGTTACCAATGCTGAAACTGTACATTTGCTGTTGGAACATAAAAATTATTTTAAAGGAAAAAATATTTTAAAGTCTTTATTGAAGACTTTAAGTGCATTATTTGTGGGGGTTTTGTTTGGGTTTTTGTTGTTTTTCTAAATATAAGTGAAAGATGTGTTCTTTTTCAACCAAAAGGATACAGGAAGAAAAAGTATATAAAACTAGTTATGCTTCATAAACAAGTGAAAGGTAAATTACCCCCCTCAGGAAGCTTAGAGCAAAAGGGATGTTCTGAATTGTATGAAGACCCTTGAGGACATTAAAAGAGGCCATTGAAGCCGTTCTATGCACATTCAAGGAAGGTCTAAATTTCTTCATTAATTTCAGATGAAGAGATTCATTATAGCCAACATGAAATCTAAGGCAATGTTCTATGTGCTTCATCTGTACAAAAATGTCCCAAACACTGGCACTTTGATCAGGGAGGCAAATCTGGTATTACCAGTGTTAGGCTAATAAAGATGGTTACCTTCAAGACTAGAGGAACTGAGTTCATGGTAAGCTAAGCCTAACAGAATGGGCAAACAAAGGAGCCTTATTCTAATATGTCACTAAATCAAGTCTTACACTGTTGTTTATCACCATGTCATTAGATATCCATGTTTTTTAGGGTAGCTATGTTTCTCCGTAATGGCACTTCTGAATGGGTCCTTTTCATGGCAGGTGTAACTGAATGGTGAAAGTGCATTTCTTTGTCTCACGTAGCTTCCTCCTGCTTTGCAATGCAACTTGGAAAGGAGAATCGTTGAGAGATTCAAGAAGTCCCTTTGCAGTCAGAAGAGCAACCCTTGTAAACTGGAATCAGAAATCAAAAAGGTGTGGTACACCATTTACTACTTTTGTTCAAGTTTGTCTCTCTTTCCATTCAGTTGTGCTATTGATATCAGTATCAGAAAAATGTAAGTGTAAGAATCCATTTTCAAAAGGAAATATTTTAAATATTCTCCAGCTATCCTATATTTGGAAAATATGGAGTCTCCTTAAGTAAGAAATTTTTGCAGGATGGTTTCAGGTTTGTATCTTGTCATTAGAACTCTTTCTGTAAATGGTAAGGACCTGCTAACTCCTAAGACACAAACCCAGATTTCATCTCATCAGAGCTCAAAAAGTCAAGAGGAAGGGTAACATAACTAGAGATTATATAAGCTCTTAAGTTATACAAGCTCCGCTTGATTTGATTTGTTAATAGTTCCTTAATATTTTTCTTATTTTGGACTGTATTCCTACTTAAACCATTAATCTTAAGAGAACAGTGTCCCAGAGTACCTTAAATATAACATACCTTGTCCTGCTGTTGCACAGTGTGTCAGCAACATTTTAGTGTCATCAATTTAAAAGTACTGCAGATTTGTAAGAATGAAAAAGCATTCTTGCTTGTTTTCCAGTGACATGCTGGATGCTTTCCAACAGAGAAAGATCTAATTACTAATATCAGAATTTCTAAATGTTCCTTCACAATCTCCTGAGAGGACTGCAATCAGCAAAGGATTTGAACTTTACTTCCTTGGCATCTGTGTACTGTGGGATACTGAAGCTAAGATGTTTCATTTATGACTTGATGATAAAGTAGTTATTAGTTTTATTATTGTACCTAAAATTTGATGACTAAGGTGACTTATTATCATTCACATAGTTCTCCCTCTGTAACTTAATTTGATTATCACCTACTTCCACTAAATTATGGAATCTTCTGTGTAATTGTTTGCTGTGAAACAGACTCATCCCAAATTCTGGATCCTTCCTTTGCTTTTGTAATAATTAACCTGAGGTGCTAAAACTTCCTGGAAGGTGGCACATTGGTAGTACATTAGATGCTTCTAAGGATGCTTCTTTCTGAGCTATCAGTTTCATGCTGTCCTGTTAAGTTGTAATTTGTATTAAATATTCCAGAATTTCAGCCATAACATTAAATCAAAGAAATACCTGCTCATTGTGTATTGAGTTGATGTTTTCAGAAACAAATGCCCAAAAATATGGTAAGAAAAAGGAAGTGTTTATTATAAAATTAACTTAATTTTCAGGTGTTCAGAAATAAAGAAAATTATTTGTAAATGTTATCAACTGTAAAATTGTGTTAGCTTCAAAACTATTGGACTTTAACCTGTAGAAAAGGGAATAAATACTTTATTTAGAAAGTAAATGGTAGTAAATTGAAAATGCTTGAAACATTGAATACAATTCTGGGCATTCTACCTTGAAGGAAAGATCATTTGGAGGTAATGGGAAGAACCTAAATAGAGAAAGGAATGATGTTGAACTCTTACAGCAAATGTTGTTATGAGGTTTTACAATTTCTGGAAATAAAATTTTAAAATAATGGGGTTTTAACTACATCAAGTTAGAAAACCTAATAAGAATTACAGACAAAAAGATTCCTCCATAAATCTGTGGTGGGGTAAAGGTCTTCCAACAACAGAGATTCTTCTGTTTCTGTAACTGTAAAAGTTATCATGTTGCAGAAATGCATAACTGAGATTTCTCTCCCATACACAAAAGTGGTCCTGTTAGAGTTGTTACCTTGTTACCTGTAGATATTTTCAAAACTAGATGCTTTTAAGTTTAATGTCAGTATCATTGCTCATATAATCAAGTAGCTGAACTGACTTTCAGATTTCAAAAGTGCTGGAATTCCTCTAATGGGAATTATGCCACTTGAATATCAGCTAACAATTTCGCTTGAAGCCACAATTTTAAAAACCAGAGTCCTAAGCTGCTTCTCTCATAGGTTCAAGAGAACACACTTTCCTTTTTATCTTCACACAGATGTATAGTTTGTGACATTTTTTCAGATAATCTGAAAAATCCAGTGTTTTATACTAAGTGCAGCTTGCAATGTTCAGTGTTTCTGGAGAGAAAAAGGTAGAATGTTCGTAATCATGTTCACCACTTTTTCATTAATCTCAAAAGTACTGAAATTTCTTTTGACTTCTGATTGCACTGGGAAACATAAGTGTAAACTGCCTCCCAGAAGTCTGAAGTTTTGGCAAATGAGAAGGAGGAACTTTTCAGGTGTCTTTATTTGTTTGGTCTCTTTTCTTTTTCCCTAGATGCTGCTGAATTGATTGAACCCAATATCTTCACAACAGATTGGCATGGGGTTCATCTTTCTTCAGGTGGAAATATGCTGCTGCCAGATGATAGAAAAGGTAAGTGAAGCATCATAATCTTTGGTAGTGGCATATATTTTTCTAATAAAAGGTATAGTATCAATGTATATTTTTCTAATAAAATGTATGGTATCAAAGCAGAAGGACTTGCTACTCTAAGATCAGCCTTTAAAGATAATAAAGTTATGTTGACCATACTGATTTTCTAGGGGGGGTTATTGGTTTTTGGTTTGGAGTTCTTGGTTGGTTGGGTTTTGTTTTCTTCAATTCCTGGTAAGATACACAGTTCAGCACTGCTGGAACTTTCTACTGATTGAAGAGAGTACACTTTGAAATTATAAAGAAATATCACAGATACAAATAGTTCATGATTCATCCATGAAAGTTAATAGAAATGTTTGTAACTGAAAATATCATATTAAGGACTTACCTGTCCTTGTGTATGACTTTTAAATCAACTATGTTTAAACCCTTATGTTGTTCTTTTGTCATGTTTGAAACAGTTGTAATTGGTTGATTTAATTACATAGATCAAACCATACGAACTTGAGGAGGGAAAAATGCACACATGCATATATATATATATATGCATATATATATATGTGTGTGTGTATATATATATGTATATATATGTATATATACTTTAGAAAATATATCTATATATGTGTCAATTCTACTTTGACTAGTGATACTCAGCTAGACAAATCATACACACCATGTAAAATCAAACCTGCCTGCTGTGGTGTCACCCAGGGTGGGGAACTACAATTCCTGGTTCAGAGACGTTTTACATCATGTGGTTTTTTTGTGCAGTAGACATAAGGGAAATGTGCTGCCTGTATTTTGGTAATTGTCCCAATTACATTCTTTTAAATACAGAAAAAACTGTTGCAATCCATGGACTAGCAAATACAGTAACATTAAAATCTGTGGCACCAGAAAGAAGAGTGAAAAACTTTAATTTTGATGGTCTTTGTGTTGAAAATAGTGTATCTGTTCCACAGCCCTTTGCAAAAACCAGAATTAATACTAGGTGTCAAGGGTGACATTGGAGTAGGAAATTAGTTCCTAACAATCTCTTTAAATATGAGCATTATTTTGTTCCTGGAGACGATAATGCAATTTGTTGATATGCTCATTATCTGTAATTTTTGAATCTCTTAACCTGCAGACAGTACTTTTGTCCTCACAAATTGCTGCTGGCTGTGTGCCCTTTCCACTGTAAATTTCCTCTGTAAGTGGGAAAAAATATGAAAGTTGCATTTCTGAGTTCTGTTACATTAAGTCTTTAAATTATTTTTCATTGATTAGAATATTTCCATAGTGCATGTGCACCAAATGTTCATATCATGCCATAAAATGACCCCACCTTTTCAGGGGGTCATTATGCTCAGTGAGAGTTACTGATCATGAAGCTTCTGGCTTGTCATTGTGTTTGAAGTGGAATTGCTAAGAAACTGATAAGGGAGCACAGATTCCAAATTCAGTAGTATAACATTACTTGCCTTTTACTTGAAGGCATTCTTGACACTTCTGGCATGGCAGAAGGGATGACATATGAGCAGTTGCAGGTAAGCTGTATATTTACCTATATGTATTCATTTATTACTCTTAATGAGTATAATTCATTGAAATTAAGTTCTTTTGTGTTGTACACTCTAATTGAAGAGGTTCTAGAGGAAAGTGGTTATTACAGTTTCGCTTCTTACGGGTCAGTCTAGTCAATTTAAAAAGAAAAGGTTAATTATGAAGTGCTAAACCCAAATGTATCATCTTCCTGTTTATGTGACTGCAATTCACTTTAAACTTGGTGCAGTATGTGGTTTATTATAATACATGGATGCATGGACTGGAAGAAATGTGTTTGGAATACGTTAGCTAATATAAGCAGCTTTTTTTGACCACATCTGTTTTCTTCATTCAGGTGAAAGAGTCGTACAAGTGTGGCAGCAATTTCCTCACATTTTTTCCCACATAAACTCACATTTAAACAAAAGGTTAATTACATAGAAGAATATTTTATTTTAACGCACTGCCATTACAGGATTTAAAGAACAAAGCTGATATCTTTAGCAAAATATTAGAGTACAGTGCAAAAGCCAGTATAAGTGTTTACTAGCACGAAAGTGCAGGGGATGAAAACAAATGTGGTGGTCTTTGAAACTAGGCAAATACTTTGTTCTCAAGATGGTATATCTTTTCCTGCAACAAAATTTTGACACAAGAGAGAAAATTAACTATATAATTTTTCATGTTTTTCACCTGATATCCTATTATTTCTCATCTCAAATATTCTTTACTGCAAAAGAAACATTAACTGCTTCAATTAAGTAAGTCTTTCTTGTCTTTACATTAATCACCTTTTTAAAGTCTGAGACACTGCAGTTAGGTTTTCTAAAACAAACAAATAAACAAACGTAAACCCTCCCAGCCCCTTGCCCTGCCTATTGTAAGTATTAAGAAATTTTAAGAATGGTTCCTGGTGCCTCAGCAGTACTTTTCAGTTATTTTTTATCTTTGCAAGGTTTTTGGTATGATTCAAACTCAAAAAATTTCTGATGGTAGTCTATAGGCTACTCATTAAACTGATATTTCAGCTCCCAGCTCAAAGTATTGAAAATCATGATTCAACACTCCCAAAATAAAATAACAGTTCAATCTTTAAACCTTCAGGGTGTGCTTGAATTATGTTTACAGATTATTTTTTCACCCATGATGTCTAACAAACTTCTTCATGAATGTTTTCAAGTATTTTAAAATTTTTGTCCTCATGAAAATCTCCCAGAATTTGATGCTTAGAAAAAGCATTGCACAACTTATGGAAAAAAAAAAGAGTAGAAAAAGACATCAAGGTCTGCCAAGTCCTGTTATAAATATACAAATGTGTTGTAGTTTTATAGGCATTTATCTCACAGACTAGTAAAAAGTCTAATTAACTGTAACAAAGGTGGTGAATATGCTGAATATGGACTTCAGTATTTTTTTTTAACAAGAACTACTAGAGAGATAAGGTGTCTATTAAAGGAAATCAGAATGATAATGTGTCTCATTTTGAATGGACATGTAAGGATTGAGTCCAACTCCCTGCTCCTCACAGGACTTTCTGACACTAAGCCATATGACCAAGAGCTTCATCCAGATACTCCTTGAACTCGAACAGGCTTGGTGCTGTGATCACTTGCCTGGGGAGACAGTTCCAGTGAGGAACCTTTTCCTCATGGCCAGTCTGAACTTCCCTTAGCACAACTTCATTTCATTCCCTTGTGTCCTATTACTGTGAATGTAACTGCTGAAATGTAGAGCACACTTCAAGGTTGCAGGCACTTATGGTGATACTTTCAACATATGAGTGCCACAGAAATGCACATGGGATTAACAGTGGTGAAATAATTAACTGTCTTTTTTTCCTGATTTATTCAGAACTTTTTCTCTGCTCTGCTGGTATTCCTTAGAGGGTAGCTGTTCTGCAGAAAACTAACTTAAGATTCTAAATCTTTAAAAATGTTATTTTAAGGGAGGCATAAAAAGTTGTCCTTCATAGCTACATGGGATGACAGTATAGTATAAGGAATTATTCTTGATCCTGCAGCAGGAAATGGGTGAAAGAGTGAGCAGTACATTTCAACACATATGTAAGCTCTGGAGAAGGCCAGGGATATTCATCCTTAATCACATTGGTTGATGTGCTATGTCTTTGATTTTCACAGGAGCACAGCAAAATTGGAAAGCACATTTTGTTTTCCCTGAACCACACAATTTCTTTAGCAGCACTTCGAGTGTGTTACCCACAGTCAGTGCTGATCTGTGTTTTCTTCGTGGGTTTTGTAGCAAAGACAAAATTGATTTTGGAGTGAATTTTGGAGGAATGCAGTGAAATCTCACAGGTGTGAATCTCCTTAGAGGTGAAGATGTATGTTGTCTAGATTTTGTTGGGGTTTTTTAATTGCTTAGATTTGTTAATGGCATGCACAAAACTGCTATTGCAGACTTTGCCTGACTCCATTGCATGTGTGTCACTACAGCATGTCCTGGCTTTAGCTGGCAGGTACAAGACAGTTGTACTGCAACCCTGTTGTTGGTCTGTCACCAGCAACTTGTTTGTTCAGTATGTTTTTTGTGGTAGATTGACCGTGGCTGAATGCCAGGTACCCACCACAGCTGCTCTGTCACTCCTCTCCACAACTGGTTGGGGGAGAGAAAATATAACAGAAGGTTCATGAATTGAGATAAGGACAGGGAGAGACATCACTCACCAATTCCTGTCACAGGCAGAACAGACTCGACTTGGGGATATTAGCTGAATTTATTACCAATCAGAATCAGAGCAGGGTAATGAGAAGCAAAACAAATCTTAAAAATCTCCCCACTCCCCTCTCTCCTTCCTGGCTTTACCTGCTCCCCAAAAGGGGTGCAGAGAGACAGGGAATGGGGGTTACAGTCTGTTCATCACAGGTTGTTCCAAGGAGAGGAGTCCTTCCCCTTCTCCACTGTGGGCTTGCTCCCACAGGAGACAGTTCTCCACAAACTCCTCCAGCCTAAGTGCTTCCCATGAGTTCTTCATGAACTGCCCCAACATGGGTCACTTTTCCAGGGGGCATAGTCCTTCAAGAATAGCCTGTTCCAGTGTGAGTCCCCCACAGCATCGCAAGTCCTTCCAGGAAACCCGCTTCAGTGTGGGTTCTCTCTCCATGGGTGTGCAGATCCCTGCCAGGAGCCTGTCACAGCACAGGCCTCAATGGGCTCACAGCCTTCTCTCAGGCATTCACCTCTCCAGTCTGGGTCTCCTGCCTGGGCTGCAGGGGATCTCTGCACTCCCATGGACCTCCATGGGCTTCTCCATGTACCTCCCATGGACCTCCACAGCTGTCTTACCATGGACTGCAGGGGAATCTCAGCCCTGATGTAGAGCAGCTCCTGCCCGTCCTTCTCCACTGACCTTGGTGTCTGCAGAGTTGTTGTTCTCACATTCCTCTCACCCTTCTCTTCTCTGAGCACAACTAAATCTGAACAATAACTTTATTTCCTTTTGAATCTGTTATCACAGAGGAATTATCACCATCTCTGATGGGCTCAGCCTTGGCCAGCAGCACTGCTGGAGCCAGTGGGCATTGGCTCTGTCAGACCTGGGGAAGCTTCTGGCAGCTTCTCACAGAAGCTGCTCCTGTAGCTCTCCACTACCAAAACCTGTCCATGCAAACCCAGTTTGAATACTATTATTTGCTGTGATGCATAATTATGTTTGGTTCCCTTGTCACTATTATGTTAATTGTTTCCCAGACAAGCCTCTACTCCCAAATAACTTATATTCTTTCCTCCTGAAAACTGACAGACCAGGCTTTCACCTTGGCTGTCAAAAACATGTCTATATTTCCAGAGAACTTGCTGTATTTTCTGAAGTGTGTTCTGCTCAGTGCCATTCAGAGCCTTCAGAACTTGAGCAATTTTTATTTTTTGCTGCTCACACTCTGTCCAAAAAGCCAGAGTCCAGTTTTGATAGCTGTCCAGTATTGAATGATTCATTTGGTTAGCAGACAGAATCATTAGGTTTCACCTCAAACTCTTCAAACACCATGAGCAAGCTAGAAGAACAAATCGGTTTCCTGAGCTGCACTGCAAGTCACTTATCAGTGTCCACCATTATCTGGTTTTATTCCATCACACAGTAATTGGTTTGCAGCCCTCACAGCAACATCCCATCAGCCATTCTTGGCTAAAGCTGATTTGAGCTCTACTTCCTCTCTTTTACATACACTGAGACATTTCAGAAGCAACTGCAAATTTTCCAGCAGAACCTCAAGCCATCCTGTAGCTTTCCTGCAATCCCCTTCTTAGAAAAATGTTCACAGAGGAGCTTTAGAAAAAGGTACTTAGAGTAATGAATATCTGTATCTTACTTGCTTTAGCAACATATAGGGCAATACTATTTTTAAACTTACTCATGTTATGTTAAAAGTTTTTAGTTTAGACTGGGTTTTAAATTTTCTAAGTTGTAATGATGCAGCATGTGTGGGTCTTTCCCAGTGGAAACAGAATGACAGTGCTTCTAGCAGGAAACAAATTGCCTTGCCTTCAGCTCATAATATGGTTCTAGCTTGTCTAGTAGAAATGAGAAGGAAAAGAACTTCAAGGGCTCAAAAGTCCTTAAAAGGTACATCAAAATACCACAAATTTGATTTGAGAACTTAAAAATGTTTAAATGTGAGGCCAAATTTCCTCACATTTTCTGACCAAGTTGACATTGACATTATCCATTACATACATTGTAAGGTTACAGGGTGAATCTTGGTTTAGAACAAAGAATTGGGATGAGTGCTATGGCTAAAAGCATGGTTAAATGCAGAATAATTAGCTAGATAACATAGTAATGCAGTCTTCTACCTCACTGTGGAACACGCTTTATAGAGAAAATTCTGAAAATATGTTGCATTTATTTTCTGGTTTGGGAGAATTTCTATGCATTGTCTTTTTCTCCCATCACTGTTGCCCCTGGCTGTGGCCTTCTAAAATACCAAGAAGATGGGAAACTAAACCTTAAGTGAGGTGATGACATGAAAATTGTAGTAGGACAAATGAACTGTGTAAAGAGTTAAAAATAATTCAAGCAACTTGATTGGGTGATGAGAGAAACATGAATTCTTTAGAAACTGACAGCTTCATAAGAATAATGTCATGCTGCTTTTTTTACCCTATTTTCATTATAGTAGTAATTACTATCTCAATA